TCGTCGCCGGCGAGCCGGGCGGCGCGGCGGCGGCGGCGGGGGACAAGGGCGACGCGGTGGCGGTGGCGGTGGTGGGTGTCCCGGATGTTGTGGTGCATGTGCAAGTGGAAGAAGGCTGATTAACACTTTGATTAGGTTGTCGTCAAGATCTCTCCCATCTCATTGTTTCTTGATTTGCCATGTAAAGAGCTCATGTACCGCCTGAAATATATATTTATACGATGAAAATTGTTTGAGATATCTGCTGGATTGATAGACTGTGATGGCACATACTCACTCACTCCTTCTCTAAATGGTAACGTCGTTGACTTTTTTAACATGTTTGACCGTTCATCTTCTTAAAAACTTTTATGAAATATGTAAAGCTATATGTATACATAAAAGTATATTTAACAATGAATCAAAAGGTAGGAAAAAAGTTAATAATTGCTTAAATTTTTTGAATAAGACGAATGGTCATACATGTTTAAAAAAGTCAACGACGTTAAACATTTAGAGAAGGAGGGAGTATATATATATATATCTGCATGCATGATGCAAAAACGAATCGAGCCATCTTATAGATGTACTGGTACAAATTGATCTGTGATTTGCTCCCAGGAAATTCCTACATTTCGAGTTCATCGAAAAAATCCGTTCACTCGAGAAAACATAGGAAAGCAAGGTAAATAGATTCCCTTTATAGAAAGTTAAAATCTTACTAGAAACTTTAAAAGGGTTTAGAGCAATTTTACCAATCATAACCCGTGTGAGGAAAACTATTCTAAACTCTCAAGAGGGCATCTCCTCGTTGTTTGTGTGTCATCTAGATAATTATGAAAAAAATAAAAAAAATCAACAAGATATACTAATATGTGATTAATAACTCCACATACACGCAAGGTCAAATTTAACTTCTATAATTAAAAAATAAATAAATTCAACTGTGAATATACGTTAACTAGTCATAGTTTAATTTGTCTTTTATTACAACTTGTAGAATTTAAATTTTAACTTGTCTGTTTGTGAAGATCTATCACATATTAATCTATCTAATTGAATTTTTTTCATAACCATTTGGATGGCATGTAAATAACGAGGGGAGATCACCTCGAGAGTTTAGAATCCACTCCTCTATTTTGTTGTATGAGAAATTAGTCCATGTTTGAGGAGCGCATAAAGATTCTAAGACACAACTAGTAAGAATTCAAAAAAAAATTGGGGTTTTCAACTTCAAACTCTAATTCATTTATTAAGATATATAACTACAGATCAGAGTTACAACCAAAACTGTTTGATGAGTTAGGAATTCTATGAAAAGCTGTAACTACCGGAAGCTTCCCAAAGGGGGTTTTAGGCCACGTTCTAATTAACTTGTCTTGAAGGTCTCCAAGTGGCTATCGAATAAAGACACATGCCAATAATCCTGGAGACAGATAATGCTGAAGTTTCCAAGCCCTGGTGAAGAATTGCCCATCGAGGTATATATGCCTGGACAGCAACGATACTTAAGTAAATTGTGATGCAATATACTCTTATTAGAATGTACGACTGCACAAGATAAAAGAAAGAAGCGAATATGATAGCTGATACTGTTTTGTGTAGAGTGGAGGTTGTGTGCTACAAGAATTCTGGACTAGTTCAACCACGAATGTACTCTCTATTTCAATCAGTAGTTAAGTCATTATGAAAAAAAATCAGTAGTTAAGTTATCTTTATAGTGAAAAAAAAAAGGTTACTTAGGCCGCATTCTGGGCACAAGAACTTTTGACCATTTCGACCATTTCAACAAGATCAGTTTATTGTTGCATAAACCGGAGAGTTACTAACAGTCTAACATTCCAAACACGCGTGGCTATGTTACTTTCTGTTTATCTCCAAATAATTGCATTTTGCAATTAGCCCGAGTCATTTCTCGCATCACATTAGTAAAGCATCATTTCCATATCTCCTACATTACTAGCTAATTCTAATACTCTCTTTTTTTTAATATCACACCATTAACTTTTAAACATGCGTGTAACCATTCATTCATCTTATCCATATTTTTTTCAAACATAAAAAATAATAAGTCATACTTAAAAAAAACTTTAATAATAAATAGAGTTAAAATGTTAATGGCATCATATATTAAAAAAAACGGAGATAGCAGTATTTATTTTAGAGGTTTCTTCGCCACTTTGTTGTCCTGCCCTTTTTCCATGATTCCTATGAAGAAAAATAAATAATATACCTACAATTGTCCTGAAAAAACAAAAATTAGCTTCCATTTGGAAGCTATGCCAAGCAGTTCCTAGCTAGTATGTCCATATTATTTGTGAAATTATTGAAAGCATCGCGGCTTCATTTCATCTAAAACCTGATGTGTGTGGTTTACACGACTTAATCAAAAGGGTGAGGCTCTCAAAAGAGAACCTAAGCCTAGCAAAAGTCCTAATATATATTCCTATTTATCTTGCGAGGATTATATGTTGATACTTTGATCCCTGCAAGCAGAAATTGAAGTTTGATAATAATTTCTTCTCGCTCATGCTGGTGAAGTTGGACCTGCTGGCGACGCAGACACGCAGTCGTTTCTTTTTTTTCTTCTTCCAGTACCAAAAACTGAGGAACAAAACTGTTATCTTTTAGCTTTTAAATAAAAGAAAGAAACAAATCCTTAAGCTGAAATATCAAATAAGAACTTCGCTAGTTTTATTGTCCAACTCTCTTTCAATGATTACTAATAATACACTAGTACTACCCAAAAATGTCCTAAAATATCAATAAGATTAGCTTCCACTCGGAAGCTATGCCAGGCAGTTCCTAGTATGTGCATATTATTTGTAGCATTATTAAAAGCATCTTTGGCTTCATTTGAGCTAACTAGCTAAAGACTCGTGCGTTGCAGCGGATTGCACTATAAGAGATAAAAGCAAAAAAAAAATTACAAGTTTATAGCAGCATAGTTGGTTGATTAGGCATATAATGCCATATCCAAAACAAAAGCATTTACGTGTGGGAAACTTATGACCTCACATGTCAGCTTGTAGTGTAGGGAGGGAGACTCGGAGTCTCGGACATCACACTAGCATCATTTAAAGTGATATACATGTTATTGTACATGATTCAATCAAAATTGTGAAATTTTCTAATATAACCTACAGCTTCGTTTATTTTAGTCGAACGAACCTAGCTTATTCTAACAAAGGTAACGAGGATAACCATTAGTGCTTAATTAATTAAATATTAGCTATTACAAATTTAGAAATGGATTAGCTATTATCCCGGCCTTTAAGTTTATAAGGCTGTGTTCTAAACTGTACACGGTACAAAATGAATTTATTTGATTTTTCAATAAACTTTTATGTAGAAAACTTTTGTACAAACATACCGTTTATTGGTTTGCTCAAAAAATGATGAATTAGCCTAGCCAAGTAGCTAAAACGCGGCCTAGCCTTTCAAAGGTCATAATATATCTTCCTTTTCTCTTGTCAGGATTATATGCAATCATGCAGATACTTTGATCCCTTCAAGAAAAGAATGTACTAAGTTTTATATTAGTTTTTATGTCGCTCATAATTAAGTGAAGCCCGGACCCACTGGTGATGCAGTCCTTTCTTTTTCTTCCAAGTACCAAAAACTGAGGAACGGAAATGTTATCTTTGAGCTTTTAAATAATAGAAAGAACCAAATCCTTAAGCTGAAATATAAAATAAAGACTTTCCCCATTATAAATACATACTACTGAAATATCAAATTACAAGTAGTAGACAAATTATGCAACGAAGCTAGCTGTATGTATTGACTTCACTAAGAGCACCCGCAATGGTAAAGTAGGGTGTTCTCTATAAAACATGTACATCTCAGCAATAGACTAGATTAATAGTAAACCACCTCAATAGTATGTCTACATAGGTATCTATAGCTCTCTCATGCATTGCCTCGTTTTTCTCTATAGACTATCTCTAAGCTAGTAGATAGCTTTGCTCTCTCTCTTCATTTAATATCTTCCAAGTAGGAAAATATGCTGACATGGATCTCTTGTAGATAGCTTATAGATAACCATTGTGGGTGCCCTAAGCGGAGCAGATCGAATAATACAAGTTGAAGCTGCAGAGAGATAAAACTATCATGAAAGAGAACGTGAAAGAAGTCAAAGAGCCATTAAAAAGTACAGAGGAAAATCGCCAGAATGTCGTCACAACATCTTTTGTTGATCCCATGCTCTCAGGTTGATTAAGAAAGCATGGCCAACATCAGTATAATTGCACGTGCTTAAGTCATTTGAGTTTTGTGCTTCGACTCCATCTTCTTAGGTAGCAGCACTTCTCTTTCTTCTTTTTTTTAACGAACTGCACAAGATTTTAAGGTTTCATATTGATATAGCAGAAAAAAATTACAAGACCATAATCATAGTAGGCTATAAACAGGAGAAGAAAAAACAATCCTAATAGACTATAATCAGGAGAAGAAAAAACGGTAGTATAACGATCCAACTACACTCAACTCCATCCATCTTTGGGTTGGAGAGGGAGAGGACGAAAGAGAAGATGATCGTTCTATCCCATGCAGACCCGCTAACATGATCATCTTGTGACAATTAGAAACGCCAACATGATCATCTTGTGACAATCAGAAAAACGCCACTGCAGAGGACAATAAGTCTGAAGAAGAGATTGGTCGGAAATGGTCCTTCCTGCATACTCCCTCTGTTTCGAAATGTCTAACACCGTTGACTTTTTAGCACATGTTTGACCGTTCGTCTTATTTAAAAACTTTTGTGAAATATGTAAAATTATATGCCTACATAAAACTATATTTAACAATGAATCAAATGATAGAAAAAGAATTAATAATTACTTAAATTTTTAAATAAGACGAACGGTCAAACATGTACTTAAAAAGTCAACAGCGTCAAACATTTCAAAACGGAGGGAGTATTATGCAGTGAAGAGAAAATTCACAAGCGGGAAGTGATGGTTTCTATGGGCAAGCTAAGACTATCGGGCAAGCTAAGACTATCTGGGAAAACAGTTAGCTTAATAGTACAAGGTAACAGATTATCAAATTAACACAATGGCAATGAAGCACTGAGTATCAAACTATTTTAATGTACATAGACAAGATGTTTGACAAATCTAGTTTTACAGAGTCCCAACTCCCAAGTTCGTCACTTGCTGAACACACAAGTTACATTCCATTTTATTATCGGCCAAGCGGCCATCTGCTGCACATTATTGCCTATACCATTCCCACTGACAGCAGGAAGATTTCCCTCAGATCTCATCACGTCGAGGACCTACAGTCAGTGTGCCTCATCTACTGCAAGAGGTACAGTCTTCGCCTGCACAAAAGGAAAAATATTTATTAGCCAATCAAAATGAAACTCGTATAAACTATCCTCTTTCAGATCAGAAAGCATTGCTCCTTCTATTCTCTCCAGGGGAAAATATATATATATATACCTTAGTTGGATTAGTACTCCTATACTACTATGTCAATCTAATCGGAGCAAATGGCATGTATTGGCCGTGCTTTTGATAACTACAGTATTTCGGTGTGTACTATGGGCCTATTTGAATCGCAGGGTAGAAAAAACGGAGGAATAGGAAAAACACAGTATTCTGATAGGAATTGAAGTGTAAAACAGAGGATTGCAAAACACAGGAAAAGGAATGATCGTTTGATTGGAGCGCAGGAAAAACGCAGGAATCGGATAAGAGAGATAGACTCAAAGGAAATTTTCCAAGAGGTTGGAGCTCTTGCTAAATTTCCTCCACATGCAATGTGCCATTCCATAGGAATTTCATAGGATTTGGAAAGCTTCAATCCTTTGAATCAAAGGGCCAAATAGGAAAATTTCCTATAGTATTTGAATCCTATAAAATTCCTACATAAATCCTTTGATTCAAAGGGGTCCTAAGAGGGCAGAACTTTTTGCATACCAGTTCACGGAACTTCAATATGTAGAACATCTCAAGATAGCGCCTGGTCTCCCGCCTCTCAAGCTTCGAGACATACTTCCAGAAGCCATAAACCCCAGCCAATGTCATCAACCTCTCAGAGTAGATCTTCCATGTATATCTATAAACATCAAGGTCAGTAAATAGAAATACTACACAAGAGGCATGAAAAACACCTGTGTTAAAAACAGGACTCGCAGGATTGGCAGTACTGACTTCTCATATATACGTTGTAGGCCTCTATTAGAAACTTCAACCCAATGGTTGGGGTCTTGTTTACATTGTTCGAAGAAGTCAGCTATCAGATTTGCAGCTTGATCCGGATGATAAGGATCTATGTGGAACCCTGAGATCCCGTGCTCTATAATCTCGGCAGGTCCACCATGGACTGTTGCAAAAGTAGGGAGTCCACATGTCATGGCCTCCACAACAGTGAGACCGAATGCTTCGTAGAAAGCTGGCTGTAATTGGTAAGGCAAGTCAATATGTAGGTGACATGTACCACCCATTCCATATGTTCGGATATAACATGTAAGTTAAACTGATGACTATACCTGCACGAAGGCACCATGAGTATCAGCTATGTAGCGATAGAGCTCACCATTGCGAGCCCTGTTCGTCTGAGCCGAGATCCAACGGAACTGCCCAAACAAGTTATAGGTCTTAATAAGTTCATGCATCTTCTCAATCTCTGCGATTTCTTCTCTGTCCTTGGATTTCTTGACATCGTTATAGCCAGCAACCACGACAAGGTTTACCAGCTCCCTCAGCCTAGCGTTTTTAGCATAAGCTTCAACCAACCCTGTTATGTTCTTAACTCGGTCAAGTCTTGCCATGGAAAAGAGAATGGGTTTTGATCTGTCATCCAGGTGTCCACTACAAAAAGTAGTTATCATCATTAGAAACAACGAGAGTCACATGTTACATGCCACAACTATCTACTTTTCCACACATCCTGTTAGTATCTCTAAAATATGTGTCTAATTGTGTACATTCTAGTATCACCCATTCATGATAACCTGGTAAATATATAAAATCTAGAAAAAGACACAGCAAGTAACCCTGTCATCAAGCAATGAGAAGAGACCAAAGGACATAAAACTCAACCTTAAAGTGCCGCAAAAAGAAGTAAGATAACAGAAATTACTCACATATGTTCGTCATTTTGCTCTGGGTCAGAAATCAAGTTTTCAAGTGAACCATGAAGCGAAGTGAGCCGCTTGGCCTTTTCAGTGTACGGAAAGTATATAGACATGTCTGCTCCTGGAGAGACTATGTTGAACTTTGGGTCAAAAACATCAATCCCATGGACAATACGATACAGACCAGGAAGAGTAAATGCAGTATGGCTCTCATACTGTCCAACTGTGTTTTTGCTGAAGAAAAGGACAAAATTAAGAATCAGAATCAGGATACCCTAAGAATAGCCATGAATAACTACTAGGCATGTGCGCCAGATTTCACATGCTACTATGCGTGAACAAATCAATAATCGAATAATGAAACGTGATGAAAAAAAAACTTTAACAGCCAACAAGGCAGAAGAGAATAAAACCTGCCAGCAATTTCCTGGTATGTGCTGGTGATTATAAAATCAGCATTGTTCATGGCGATTATATCAGCTGTGAACTGACAGGAGAAATGGTACTTCTCATCGTACTTCGTCCAGTATATGTCTGAGTCTGGATATTTAGTCTTTTCCAAAGCATGAGCAATATTGCACTGCAATCAATTTACCGGCATAATCAGCAACCAAAAAGGTGGTGGGAACTTTTAATAGTAGTTAACAAGGACTTACCTGGGTAATTCCCATCTTGTAAGATAGCAATGATGCAACAAGATTACCGTCACTGTAGTTTCCAATTATGAAGTCTGGAGTACCTTGTAGTTCTGCAGCAATCTCACCAGCAGCATCCTGTAAAGCAAGAACGCATTACTATAGTGCTCAAATATAGAATTGAAGTTTCAGTTGAGGAGAACAGTACTCCAAAGTTCACACCCAGAGGAGGAAGTGCCATATACAGAATCGGGGTTCTAACTAGGAAAGGTCACCAAAGCTCTTTATACTACAAATCAAATGCAAAAACACACCCTCGAAAGTTCTCATATACTGAATTGAATTTTGTTTTGTTACTGTTCTACATAAGTGATTTACCCTCTTCATCTTGGATTTAGTCCTTTTATCTCAAGTTCCTTAAACAAAAAATGACAGTTGTAGTGCATAATGGAACAAACAGAATTTGATTATTTTTCAATGTTCTTGATAAATGTAATCCTTCAATTATCAGTAGCAGAGGAAGAAAACCAGTTCAGGGCCATCTGAGGAATCTCTACAAGTAAAAAAGGGATGCATATTCACCTCTGCAAATTTCTCCAGGTAGGGCCATACATCAAATCTTGATATCCATTTCCTGAGTATCCCATTTTCATTTCTGAATGGCACTCGTAATATGTAAGTATGTTGTGTCCCACTTATTCTCTCAAGACGCTGATTGCATGATGTCCCTTTTGCTTCTGGTATCAGCCGAGTAACCTCAACGACATAAAAAAATGCTTAGATGATCTTCTTTTTCACGTGAAAGAATCACAACGATAAATCAAGTTCACCATGTGCAGGAGCATGCAAAAAATAGTAATGTTCCATAAAACAAGGTAACTGGAGCATGTACCGAACTACTGATAGAATAGAACATCACACTTAACAGATGCCACATTTGAGGAAGGAAATAGACATGCACTTACAATAAGAATTTTAGGGGTAAAATCAAGGCCTTGTTTCTTTAACCTAAGAACCATCTCATTCTCCAATGCACGGACTTGGTCCAGTATATAGACAATCTGGACAAATGCATAGGAAAACAACAGCATGAGGCTTCAAAAGATTAAAGGCAATAAATGGTGAGAGGGAGGCACTTTATAGCCATGATAAGCTAAAGATCATTGACTGTGTCCTGATAAGCAAAAAAATCTTGGTGTTTTGTCATCAACTGGTACCTGCCCTCCAGTATCTGGTAAGCCCAACACATTGGCTTGGCCAAAATATCCATGAGGAGACACTACGACGACATTAAAGATCATGGGGATCCTTCCCAAGAACGTCTCAAGAGTAGATGGATCAGGCGCTTGAAGCACATCCAGAAGGAGATGTATCATCTCCAAGACATATCCAGCTGTGTCGCCCCAACCCTTCTCCAATCCCCATTCTTGAAACCTGAATGTTATAGGTAAAAATATAGCCATGTGTAAAGCGATTCTTCCAGAATGTGATTTGCACTATCAAATACGCACTTTATAACAAATCTGTGAACAATATATTTTTTTTAGATAATATCTGTGAACAATATATGATAGATACAGTGTATATTGGGAAGCATTTTTCAGTGATTTCGTATTGCAGGACATGTCAAAAGCATATCGGTCAACATATGGCCAATAAGTTCAACCTGAGTTTATACTTGCCAACAGCCCGGTACTTTAATTTCGTAGAGACTACCATTTCTAGAGAGGTGTTTTACATTTTTTAGAATAGCTCAAAGTGCATCTGAAATTGAAAAGTCTGTAAGTGCATCCCCCTATCAATATAGAAACTATGCAGAAACTCAAGCCTTAATGTGATGGGCTACACTTAGTCACTTACTTATATGCGAACTGTGAGTATGGTGTGTCAGCTGGGAGTTTCGACAAGTGCTCCTCAGCTTTTGTCAGCACAGACTGAAGTCTTCCCAGACTCTGTATCCTGTCATTTAGCATCATGACCTACGTGACAGCATTCCCAAATTAAGATCAAACACAACAAATTACAAAAGAAAAGAATCAGTTAAAATTTCCACAACAGTTACAAAACTCACATGACCCTTATGCCGATGCCCACGAAGGAAATCAAGTAGGGGCTCCAGGCAATCCTTGTTCCGGAACATGATCGAAGACAAGTGCCTGTTGAGAAACTGCACGCCATTTCCAATTGATGATGACCGATTTGGGCGTGGAACCGAGGCATTGAATGGCTCAAAATCAAGCTCAAGTATGTACGGATCGTTGTACCTGACATACTTAATCCAGGTTAAGAGTTTGGTGAAAAGAGAACCCAGATAGGGTCACAAACAGAAATTCAATCATTCTGCCAGCAGAAACCCGTAAGTCTATATACCAAAGTGCAGCTCTAACTTTGAGATCTACTACATTATTAGTACTCCTAGATTACTAACCTGGAGCACCCAGTTGCAAATATATAAACCAACGTAATAACACAGTCACGAAGGTTGTGAATTTTGACTGAAACAAACTATTATCAATATCTCACTCAAACAAATTTTACCGATCCAAAACAACACATCAACATCGCTTACCAATTAGGCAATTACCCGCACACAACCAATCAACCATCCCACTAATATTCACCTTTTGCAACGACAGCGAATCGAGCAAACAGTCATGGGATGCGGAGAACCCAAACCCGGCACAGCCACTAGAGCCTAAACCCCTAAACAGGATAACGTCCTGAACCCAACCACCAAAATTCCCACGAAAAACGAAAGCAACGAAAAACGAAAGCAGAGTGCAGGAGCAGGGGAGGAGCGCATACTGGCCGTCGACGAGCTCCTCCTTGAAGCGGAGGTACTCCGACACGGTGAGCTGCTCGACGCTGAGCTCGTGCACGTTCACGCGGACGTACTCCCACACCCCTGGCCGCGGCCGCACCGCGATCGCCACGAACGGCGGCAGCACGATCGCCTCCTGCGAAAAACCACGCGAAACGGCACGAGATTACTCAGGATTAGCCCCACCAAAAAAAAAAAGCCGCCGCCGCCGCCGCCGCGGCCCCAGCGTTTCGAGTGCTTCCCCGCGCACGGCGCACCTGGGCGGAGCGGAGGACGTCGAGGAAGGGGCCCTCGACGAGGGCGCGGCCGCCGGAGCTCTGGACCTCGTCGAGCGCGTCGAGGATGTGGTGCGGCTGCAGGATCCCCTTCCCCTGGCTCACGTACCTGCCGCCACGCACGCACGCACGCCACCCACCCGGAGAAGAACTCGTCAGCGAGCAAGTAAAATCTGTGCCGCGCGGCGCGGCTCGGCGATCGGTTGCTGGCGGGCGGCGGGCGCTCACTTGGAGAGGAGGGCGACGAGCTCGTTGCGGTGGGCGTGGAGGGTGTCCTCGACGCGGTCGCGGATGCTCGGGGTGCGGTCGAGCTTGGGGCCCGACATGGCGGCTGCTCCGGCGACCGGAGTGCAGTGGCGGTGGCGGTGGGCGAGACTGCGAGCGAGTAGATGCGGTTCCCGACTTTATACACCGAGCCGCGGTGTACCGTCCCGTGGACGCGTTGGGGAGGAGGCGGTTCCACTGACCCGTGGGCCCCACATTTCAGTCTGTCATGGGGCAGTGACGGTTGCGTGACGCCTCGAAAGAACTGGGTCACTGACACGTGGGGCCTCGATGTCAGTGGCTTTGAGGGAGGGACTCCCCCGTCAAACATGGCCCACGTGGAGGCCTCAACGTGTCCGACTTGTGGACCCCACCCGGGAAAGAAACTTTTGTGCCTGAACTGAAAGCCAAACGTCGAAGCGACCAGATAGTTCATCGGTTCATTGGAACAGAAAAGCTGCTTTGACGAGAACGTGGAGGGAGGGAGAGGAGGCCAGCCGGGAGGACGAGATGTTTCTCATCGCTCGCGCCACGTGGCCGCTAGCCGGTAATGGCTGCGTGCGACGGTGTGGCGCCGTGTCGTGGTTTTACTCGGACCGTGGTTGGCGTAGGCTACGTACAGAGGAAGGCGACGCGCGTGCCCAAGGGCCTCCTGTCACCTAAACCTACAAGTGTCGGACGTACGCATGTACTGCGTGGCCTGCGGCCGTAACGGCTCGGGCGTCGATACGTCATCTACAATCGGGCTTCGTTCGAAACCGTTTGGTTATCTGAGATTTTTAGCCGCCCGTAAAACATAACGTGGTAATTAATTAAGTATTATTAATCATTGTAAACTTAAATATGATATTATTTGATTTTAGAAAAACTTATACGAAGACATAGCCTGGCAAGCAAATCATTTTTAGTGGATTGTGTCACACTCATCGGCTCACTTTGAGTTGTTCTTTACCCGTCATCGTGACACGACGATAACGATGAGGTTAGACGTTAGCATGAGAAATCCGGGGAAACAATTTCTAGGCGCTATGGCATGCTTTATACAAGCAAAACGTTTTGTGTGTCGTACATTATAATGGAAAAAGACATAAATTAGGTAACCAAGGTTCAATTTTTATGATTTAGGCTTCACGTTAGCTCTTGCATGTTTGGCAGGGCCGCACGTTTGGCAAAGCCTTTGTCATATGACCTAGCGTACACACAGCAACAATAGTCATAACAGTAAATAAGGCTACAAGAAATATATATATACGGGTACTCATGTTACGTATGGAGGGAGTGAAAGATAAAATAAATACCTAAAACATGGTTGAGTAAAACCAATATGATACTTGGTTGAGTTGGTTTGACTCAACCATGTTGCACATTGCCATGTGGTACTACTATTATTCCTCTCGTGGAGCACAAATATATGGAGAGAATAGGAGGATATGGAAGGATGGATGCTAGGCTGCGGTGAGAGATCCATGAAAATATTTTAAGCAAAACACGTTGAGAGTCGCAAACTTGATTCATGAGAGTCGCAAACTTGATGGTGTTGTGGTATCCAAAGAGGATGTCTACGTTGGTCGGAATGCCAATTCCAGATATGAGACCTCAATGATGTTAGGCATGGGAGGAATCGATGATCCCGATGTGGAAATGGACGAGAACAAGAGAGCATCATGTTTCTAGATGTGGGGATTCTAGTTTTGGTAGTTGCGATGTGCGAGATGTGTCGACGAGTGACAATACTGTTGGCCATGGTGGCACATGAGGGGTGTGAGAGACTTTATCCGATGTAATATCGATATGCAATGTTTTTATTTTCTAGTGGCTCGTTATGCAATTGAGCGGGAGCGATGCATTGGGAGTGATTTGGCTTACCAGCGGTCATGATATGGCCATGCAGGATCACCTCGATTCGATGTTGTGTCCTACGTAGAGGCGCGATGGGAGCGGGAGATGGACAAAAGTACATAAACATCCTATATCTTTAATAGTAGATGTATAGATTCGACACATAAATGTGTTTTTCAGACATGGGAAACATCATCTCGCTTTTTCTTACAAGGCTGATATGGAGTGCTTGATACGAATCTGCTATATAATGATATATTGTTTGTTCCATTGTTCCTGATTTTATCGTCAAGTTACATTCTCGGGGTGGATGATGGATGAAACTAAGTTTAGAATAGTTATTCGAGAGCACAAACGAAAAAAATTAAATATTAGGAGATTAATTTAAGAAGTTCTGATGTAGAAAGTAATAATTGTAAAAGAAACACTACCATTTAGAAACATTTAGAAACTTGGTAAGTGTCGCTCTGGTAATCCATAATTCTAGTTAGTGAGAGCGCTCACCCATAAGCTTGCTGAATTACACGTTACACGAAAGATCATTAGAATACGCTGGTTCTAATTTGCCAAATTCGCTGTGATAACTTTTTTAACAGATAACATGATCTTATCATATGAGAGATAAAATTTATTACAGAAAACACGATCCTATCATATCATATATGCTCAGTTCATGCATCTCTTTCTTCTTGTGCCAAGTCATTTTACTGGAGAGGTAAGATAGTAAGGTCCCGTTCTTTTCTTTAATAAGAGTTGGATGAAGATTAAAATTTTTATGGTACGCTTTTTAAACTGTTAAACGGTACGTTTCGTACGAAAACTTTTATATAAAAAAGTTGCTCTAAAATATCATATTAATATTGTTTTAAGTCTGTAATAATTAAAACTCAATCAATCATACGTTGATACCATCTTGTTGTTTTATGTAAAAAAACTTAATCTTTATTTTTAAAAGAAAAGAACACCACCTAATAATCAACTGGCGGGCACTGGTTAGAAACGCGCACTGTCTCGCTACGCTTCGCGCGCCCGGCGCCGTCGCATTTGCATGGAGGCGCCGCCCGCCGGTACCCGCATGGTGGAAGACATTTCCCCGGCTTTATCCGTGATTCCTGGCGTGATCGCTACGTCTGCTGTGTTGCGCCCGAGACACATATATCTACAGGGTTGGATTCGACAATGGACAACAGGACAACCTGCCAAATGGGACGATCAGTATTCCAGTTTGTCGTCCTTGGTTTGATCTAATCCTCTCTTTCACAGTTGTATACAGGATATGCACAGTTCAGAGATTTTTGTTCTCGTTGGTAAAGTATGATCAAGCGATGAAAGGGGAAGCGCACCAACTAGGGACGTGACTAGACACAGCTAGTAGTAGTTGGTTTGTCTAAATCAGCTACCACTCTATGTATGAGAGACTCTATCCACCTATACTTCAAATAAAATTTTCTCTTAAACTACTCATCCAATCTACGATCCGATTACACCATTGTGTTCGTAACAATTAAATCTTTATAACAAGATCTCACATGATTATATTTTGATGAAAAATTATAAATTACTTTTATAATATATTTAAATTACTTTTAGATTTCACTAGATTACTTCTTCGACATATAAAAGTAAATTCAATAAAGCTTAAAAGTAATTTATATATATTATAGAAGTAACTTATAACAAAAAGAAAGTAACTTTAATGCATGCCTTTTTTTTCGTTGGACGTGACTACACAACTAGTGGTAGCTGGTTTGTACTCCATCTAGTATTTCCTTTTAACTTGAAAAATGCAATAGTATATTTCCATTTTGTTTTAAGATACTTCTATAATATATGTAAATTACTTTTAGACTTTATTGAATTTACTTTTATATTTCTAAGAAGTAACTTAGTCAAATCTAAAAGTAACTATATATATGATAAAAGTAACTTATGTATATATTAAAAGTAATTTACAAATATAAATATTTTTTTCATCGTAATATAATAATGTAAGATCTTGTTGTGAAAATTTAATTGTAACGAACACAATGGTGTAATTGGATTGTAGATCGGATGTGAGGACGTCCCAAAGCCTAGGTGGTGCAACGCTCCGAGGCATGTCAGCGCGAAATATCTGGATGGATGGGTTCTCAAATAAAGCCCAAATAAATACGGTAACCATCCAACCTCATCGCAGGCCCCGACATGTCTTGAAGAGTGCACTACATAGGCTCTAAGCCATCGGATATGAAATAGAAGACACAACTGTTGGAATAGCCACACCAATCATCTACGTCATACGCCCGTCAACCACTCGATGGTGGCGACCAAAAGCGTACCCCAGAGACTCAATCTCAACAAAGGCATATTCCCCGGTTATCTCAACCATTTCAAACCCATCCTCATGTGGGACTAGTCGCCCAGGAATGCAACATAGTCTCACATAAATCATCTCAAGCATGATATCCAAATAATAAGTGGTTCTAAGCAATAAGCATAAATAGTCTTAATAAGGTTCTAAGTAGTACTTGGCGACAAGCCATAAATATTGGTTCATGCGGTAAGCGTGCTACCCAAAAGCCCATAGGCAAACCGACTAGGGTAAATCCCTAGTTAGAACCATCCTGAAAATCTGCAACATCACAAGCTGCATCAAACTCCTCATCCAAACAATCATTACCTGCAGCGGGGTCTGAGCATAAACAAGTAGAGCATAAACAAGTAAAAGAAAGTAAGAAATCAGTACATTAATCAAATTAATGTACTGGCAAGTCGGAAACAATCCTAGCATACTACATGTTGGCCATATTCAAGGATAAGCTGTGTATAGTTTAATTTGCATAAATGCCAATTTTAGTTCACAACATGTTTCGCAACGGAATTTTATAACAATAGTATAGTATAGAGTAAGTAAAACTTGTAATGTGAATGAATAAATAACACACATCTACCCCTCAAAGTAGATCATCACCACTCTCCATCATCTCATCACCATTCACCGAACTTTACCCAAGTTGACAAACAAAATATTCCAACCATTTTCCAAGTTCACAAGAGTTTATCAAAATCACAAATTATACTCATGACACTTCACCCTGCCGCTCATGACCGTGAGCACGGCTAATCGATTAGTTTTAGACTCTGCAGAGTTTGTACAACTTTTAAGCCCACATGATATGGATCGCTCTAGTTTGTCCAATACCCGTCGGTATCACCACACTCTACACATTGAGTGTGATCTAGAGGTCATAACGAAACCGTTACATTGTTTATTGTCTAGCCTTGCACCAGCACGATGTGTGTTTTACCCACGCTACTAGCAAGGTAGCGCCACTAGGTAGCGGGCCCACACTTTAACCTAGCGCCGTAAGGAACCCAGCCCGGAATCCCTCACGAGGCACGACACCGTTGTATTGGACAGACTACCCGCTCAAGTCATCACATACCACATATCATTAATCAATTTCATCATATCACAAACCATAGGAAGTTCCGATAAGTTACCAAAACCCGGTAACCCATACCCTTTGGCCTACCAAGATGCAAGGCTAAACTCTAAACAACTTAATAGGTTGAGGCCAGCCCATACTTAGCACATGTGGTTTGTACTGTTTTCATTAGTTGGTGACATAGAGTGGGGTCCTTAATCGACCCGGGCGAACGCTCCCCCTATCGGTGTACAACTACCACCATATGTACACCACTCGCCGCCCAAGTCTAAAAGCAAGTTATCTCCATTTTCAGTTCACAATACTCACACACTTAAATTTCTGTCAAGCAACATCAAAATAACCATTTTCACATATAACATTTATCAAAACGAGTAATTTGCAAGGCAGTAACTGAATATAAGCATATAGAGGCAATATAAGCATAGTATAATCCCAAAGAACACAATAATTGTATTCAAAAGCACTCTATGGTTACAACCAGGAAGGGTTCAATATTTCAAGGTGGATTATGCAGCAATTAGGTCATATCTACCATTCCCACATTTATATAATATTTTTTTATCAAAATTAATACTAGCTAACGTATGCATGTTTGCAATAGAATCATTTAGCCCAATAGAACATAGGATCAATGTGGTCAAAGGAGGGGCAAACTTGCCTTCGTCTGCAAACTCCTGAGCCTGGTCGTCAACAAACTCACCCTCTTCTTCTTCGACGTATTCTTCCTCTATACAAAATACGTGTATACGATAAATACAAAAATGCATAAAAACCAAAATGCATGAAATTTATGCAGTGAGTGTGTGCTGGTCTCAGGTGGTCTCTGGTGAAGGAATTTTTATTTTTTCACTTTTTATTTACAGAGATATGTATTTTACAATTAAAAAGGTTTAAAAGGGCTAAGTTTTATTAAGCAACATTTTTGTACAGAAGTGAACAAAATTCCTTTTACAAATTTACAGATCATGATTTTAAAAAGTTAACAGAAGTGGTTTCACAATTTTTAGAGCTATATTCAATTCGTTATGGATTTAACAAGTTCTAGGCAACATTATGGCAAAACAAAAATAAAGGAAAAGTTTGTATAGAAAGTACCCAGTTTTATATTTTTTTAAAATATTTCACAGCTTTATGGATCTAAAAAAAATGGTTTCACAATTTTTGAAGTTAAAATGAAATTTCTACAAATTTTAGAAGTTCTGCTCATTCTCTGCTTGAAACCAAAATAGAAATCAATTTTGAAATTGCATTCTAGCCGGGTCCACAAGTCAGTGAAAGGATATTTGCAGAGAGGCCCTCGGAAGTTGGGGGAATCATCCCGCACTTCTTCTGCCACCTGGACAACAAACTTTATTAAGAGTCTCTATTCTTTTGTTTATTTCCATCAAGGTCCTGCTATAGTAATATGAGTCATGGCAGTTTTCAGATTGGACCCTAGAGTCGATCAAATTCAAGAAATGAAGTCCCCAGCTAGCTCACATCGGGAGCAGCTATGGCTGAGCTCGGTCTACGGCTCACCGGCGGCGATCGGTGGATCGAATCGGTTCGAGCACAAAAGAGAAATTGTAGAGAACGTTCTTGCGCATCCGTGAGTGGTGCTGGTGAGGGAAATGGTGGTCTGTAGCCCATAGAACATGAGCTACAGCGGTGGTGTGTCTCGGTATGCCCATGTATGTGCATGCAGAGGCTTGGTTAGTGCAAAGGGTTAGTGCATGTGCTCTCATATGGTACCAGGGTGCTCACCAAGCAGAGAAACGGAGGCAGCGAGGTCCAGGGAGCGGCGGAGACGGTGGTTGATGGCCAACGGCGGCAAAACTCCGGCGTCGACGTCGCCGGGTCGACTCAAGGCGCGAACTGTAACTTCGAGAGTACGGGGGTATTAGAGATGAGCCACAGAGGGTGCATGCGCGAGGAATCCGGCGGAAACTCACCGGAGCTTGGTGTTGCTTCGGTGGTGAGGAACGGCGGCCGGAGCGGCGTCGGTGGTTCGGGTGGCCGGCGGCGAGGACGGTGACGCCCACCACATGCTCGACAGATTGGTCCTAGGGCAAAAGGGGTACGGGTGAGCTCGGCGTGATGCATAGGTCACGTTCCATAGGAGGGAAGAGAGAGGGACTCACCGGGGATGCACGGCGACGATGGCTAATTCGCCGAAGCCGGGGAAGATGGCCGAGCTCTAGGCATTCTGTGCGTGGGGTGTGTTTTCTTGGACTTGGAACGCGATGTGGGGATGTGCTGTTGCTTCTGGTGCTTTGGCTTGGGAAATAAGGAAGAGTGGAGTGGGGGAGTGAGAGAGAGAGAGGTGGCTGGTGCACTCATTGTGTTCCTTGGGCATTTATTGGGCATGAGGAACGGTGGATGCTTGAGGGGAGAGTGGGAGGCTGTCATGTGGGTCCCGGCGGGTGTGGGGCCCACTGTCAGTGAAAGAAATTCGAAAATAGCCTTGGAGGCTAAGTCAAAGAGGGTTGCCTGCCAAGGATCTTTGGAGGGGATTCAAGGTGGATTTTGTGCAGCAAGAAATCTGGGCTAGATATCCTCTTGGTCAGGGGTGATGTGGAGAGTAAATGTGCTAAAGTGGGTTAGGTTAGAAGTCTCTGGTTTAGGTTTGATGGAGTGATGAATATGTGTTGACAGTGTTGGTTAGCAGCAGTTGACAGTGCAGTTAGCAGCTGATTGGATTTTTGGAGGGAGAGAAGAAAGGGTTAGAGAATGATCCAGGGTGTGCCACTCCTCAGGGTGTTAGAAGAAAGTTAGTAGAAGATTTTGGCTGAAACCAAACTTCAAAAAGAGGTTTTGAAATAAATTTTACAGAGAGAGCAAATTTGAATCTGCTAAGCAGTTTTTTTTTCAGGATTTTGGAGAGATTAAAGTAGATCAACAAGTTAGCAAACCTTACTGAAAAACTCTGAAAATTTGTGGGTTGATTTCTGACATATCAAGGTATTTTTGAGAATTTTTGTGGAATTTTTGGATGCATATAATTACCAGATTAATTGTTTTTGTGACTCTAGGCCTATCAAGATGCATGTGATGATGAGATGATTAAGATCCAAAAACAATTAAAATCACTCCACAACCACATGATGCATTTAAATTAAATTTAGTTTTCAGATTTATAGGCTTGGGTATGTTATATCGGATAAGTAATTTGAGAGAAAACTTTATAAGAAGGAAGAAAAAGACATGCATGTCAAAGAGGAAAAACAAGCATGCACGTCAGCACGTGTAGCAGTCCTTCTCACAAATTGATTCGTCGCTGGTTAACGCTAAGATTTTGCCACCAACTAGCTTAGCTCATAGACTCACACCTGTCGAGGAGTAGGCTGATGACTGATGTTATCTTCTTCTGAAGAGAAGCTGCTGATATCTCCAGGTCATTTGGTCATGGTGACTCATGAAGGCTCTGAGTAGCGATTATAACGTAGGGTTTGTGAATTGTGACCCACTGAAGTTTTCACAGTCGACGAATTTCAAATGAATTTCACAAACTTTGAGCATCTCAAGCCATCTCGCTACATTTTGAACGGATCGTTATGAACTTCATCAAAATTCGTTCGAAATTTACTCAAAATCAGCGAAAAATCAACGTTACTGGGCTCAAATTTCACAATGTCGTAAACCCTACATGGCCTTCAGCCAAGTCTATTAGGCCTCTGAGCCATATCGCAACGACGAATTTGCCAGTAGTAGCGGGCCGAGTTGGGCCTACGGCTCCTTCTTCTACGCGTGGTTAGAAAAGAAGGTCCAACCAGCCCGACAGCTCAGACTTCTCGGCACGTAACGACCTACCAAACCATAATGGCACCCGCCCGCAGCTTCCTTTTCCTTTTCACCTCCCCACGCCCGAATCGACGAGGCACCGAAAAAAAGAAAAAAAAACACACAAAAAATAAAGAAGGGAGAACGAAGCCGACCACCCCCATCGGTTCCCCTTCCTCCTCGCAGATCTCCGACGCCGGCCGGCCACCGCCATGAACTCCTACTCCGGCGACCGCTCCTCCTCCTCCTCCTCCTCCCGCCCCACCACCACCTCCTTCGACTCCTACCAGTTCGACTTCGGCGTCAACTCGTCCCGCTCCTCTGCGTCCCGCCCCCTCAGACCGGGGCCCGGGGCCACCGCGGGGGGCGCTGCCGCCGGCGGTGTAGGCGTCGGCGGCAGCGCGTGGACGCACCAGCCGGCTAAGACGACGTCGTGGACCCACCAGCCGTCGCCCGCCTCCGCGGCGGCGGGGGCTGGATCCGGGCCCACGTCCATGGTCGGCGACATCTTCGGCCGGAGCTGGTCCTCCGCCGCGCCGTCCTCCGGCCTCGGCATCCCGCAGGCCAACAACCCCGGCCTCTTCAGCGACCTCCTCGGCTCCGCGCTCGGGTCGTCCTCCCGCGGCCAGCCCAACGCGCCGCTCAGATCTTCGGCGCCGCAGACCTACAAGCCGGCCAACGCCAACCCAAACCCTAGCGGCTCTCCGTTCTCGATGGGCGGCATGGCGAGCACGCTCCCGAAGACGACCACCGGGTCGCCGATGTCCTCCGGTGGTGGCGGGTATGGTGTTGGTGGCCGTCCGATGAAGCCGGCGGGCATGGCGTCGGCGGCCGCGGCACAGCCGATGATGGGGCAGAAGAAGGATCCGTTCGGTTCAATAGACCCCTTCGCTGCGAAGCCCGGTTCTATGAATGCTGCAAAGAAGGCTAATCCCGTCAAGCCGGATCAAGGTTTTGGGGCGTTCCAAGGCGTGAATTCAGGTGGCATTGCAGGATTATCGGGCTTCCAGACCGCTGACAGTGGATTTGGTAGCTTCCAGAGTTCCGGTGCTGTGAAACCTTCCAGCTTTACTCCACTGGCACCAGCTCCAGCGCCTGCTCCTGCGGCTGCTGCAGCGAACTCCGGTGTAGATCACTTGGACTCGCTGTTTGCTTCGACAACAGCTGCTCCGACTGCGGTGAGTAATGGTGGTGGGGGGGGTGACATGTTTGGTGAGATGGATGGCTGGGTGGATGTGGAGGCAGATTTTGGTAGTGGTGACAGCGGTGGCGCAACCACAGAGTTGGAGGGACTCCCACCGCCACCGTCTGGGTTGACAGCATCTGCTGCTAAGTCCAAAGGGATGGATAATTACAAGGGTGGGCAGTATGCTGATGCGATCAAGTGGCTGTCATGGGCCGTTGTACTCATTGAGAAGTCTGGGAAGTATGCTGACATTGTAGAGGTGCTGTCATCAAGGGCTTCATCTTACAAGGAGGTTGGGGAGTACAAGAAGGCAATTGCCGACTGTTCGAAGGTATTGCAATGTCTTTGGATTACCTGTTAACTGGCAACATATTAGCAGGTGCTTCCTAGTCTTAGTGTGCTTGTTTTATGTCTTATGCAGGTACTAGAGAAAGATAAGGATAATGTTTCGGTGCTTGTCCAACGTGCCCTTCTATATGAGAGCTCTGAGAAATACAGGCTTGGTGCAGAGGACCTCCGTTTGGTTCTGAAAATTGACCCAGGGAATAGGCTTGCGAGGAGTATGATCCATCGCCTGAACAAGATGGCTGACTAGAGGTGTTTTGCTAGTGCATTGTGTACAACCACTGTAATCCACCTTGACACGAGAACTGTGAGTTATTTTGAATTGATTTACTATACTTGTGCCTTTGGGGGAATAATTTGCCGATGTGTTGTTATAAACCGTGGGATTACATCTTTACCTACAGTATATTCTTTTATTTGTATAATCATATAATGTATCAAGCTTGCTTTAAGAATTAAGTACTTTATGGCATGACTGTTTCAACCTTCTTCATGGTTGGATGGGGTAAGCATGCGATATTCTGGCCTCTTGGGTTCTCACAACATAACGGGTAAAAGTAAATTGGTACGGTACGATCTTTAGATAAACTGATTCTTCTCTTTTGGAAACACTTACTCTTACATGGATGGTATCATTTCACACCTATGTCTTGAAATGCTCATCAGCATTCTTTCTGACTTGCATATCTGAGTACCAAATAGGTTTGAGCACATGTCTATTTTACATTCACCAGCTTATGGCCGTAATCTGTAAGATGTCCATTCTACTTCATTGCACGCACCATCTAATTCTAGGCAGGATAGCTCATTGAACTGATAGTCTGATACATGCTATTATTATACTTGAGCATGTACAAGCTAATGATGGACATTTCTAATTCTTCTTGCTAACTGCTATTTAGTTTGTGGTTTCATTTGAGCTACGTATATGGAGTATATAATCCTTGTTTGCTAAAAGAATGAACCTGTAGCTTCAACATTCTAATGATCCTTGGTAATTCATATTCCCATCAGTCACATGGATATTTATTGCTGAAAAAAGGGAACCACTATTTCATAATAAAAAGGCTGTTTCCAAATTTAGGGACAATGTGATCTGTTTCATCCTTTTGTGCCTCATGAATTAGGGCTAATGCTTGCTCTGCTAGATTAGGTCTGGGTTACTACTGTTTGTCAACAACGGTCAAGAACATCCAAATTAATTGCAATACATGTATTAGTGTGCTCAGAGAGTTCTTTTCATAGGGGCCTACTTTTCTAACCAAGTATTTATAAAATTGTGAATTAAATCACATGCTAAATTGTGTCGAGCACATGCACATGTCAATACATGTGGTAATATTCTGTGTAACTCCATAGATGCACATGCTATTATAATTGCAGGGTGCATATATGATTTGCTTCTGGCTTTCATTGAACGGTACAAGTATGTAACTTATGCATGTTCAACAGAACAAAACATGGAATATGCTGCCGGTATTTATACAAGCAGATCAGTTACACCTTGTAATTGCAACAATAATAGCTTTGTGATTGCTTGTTATTGCACTCTGGCATTGTTAAATTAGTTATTTTATTTGTGCTTAGTTTCTAAATTTATATTTCCGGCAGCTGTTGGGTGGCACTTCAGATGTGCTGTTGTGCTTTTGTCACGGTAGCTCATAGCACGGTTGAATGTGTCTGAATGTGATTGTGGTTTGGGGATGTGCATTATTCACCACTGATATGCATTATTCTACTATGACTGTGACTGAATCTTTGGTTAGTCGTCACGAACTAGCCCCGATTTATTCCGTCCTTGGTTTGTCTCTGCCTGAAGATGAACGCCTCTAACAGAAGGTATTACTTGGTTTGCCCTGGTCAGAGCCAGAGGTAGCATTTGTGATTTGTGAAGGTATTACTTGCTTAGCAGAGTGGACAGTTGATAGCCGTTGGCTTCATGTTCTGGTAACCTAGTTTCCATTTAGCTGTTTTTTCAGCTTCGCAATGGCCAATTTTCTTTTCTGTAAGTTGTCCCAAACTCAAAGGGTTGTATAATTGTATTGCCGTGTTAAGGGGGTTGTCGTCGACTCATGTAACATATGAGAAACAATTATGAGAGAACGAGCATACATGTGTTTGCCGATCAGAATACGATCCTAAAAGCTAGTCACAGTCTCACAGTCCCTGGATAGATTAATTGGCTCGCCACACCGACGAATGACGAGGCAACAGCAGTGTCACATCTTGACTTGGAGCAGAGTCCTTAACAAATGATCCATCCCAGCATAGGCTACACTGACACACGAATTAATCGCACTAACTTAAGTCAGCGAGGCGCTCGTGGCCTCGAGGCAGTAGCTATCCAGGACGGGTACGATGAGCCGATGATTGCCTCGTGGCACACTAACAATTGAATTGCAGGTCAAAAGTGGCATATTGATATGATCTCGCCACTAACCCCAATGGGCTTTGACCTGTGTGAATCGCTAAAGCATCTGAGGAAAAAAAAAAGATCTATCGGATTCGAGCTCTTTCCGCCAGATATACGTGCCGAACCCCAGGGCCTTTTTCACTAGCTGAGGAACACTTTCGGTGGAGATGGCCACCCGGATCTTATAGTAAGTGTAGCTACTAGACCTTGCAGCTTCTTCGTAGGTAGCGTACACTTTCGCCATGGTGTCTATATAGCTCAGCAGTGAGCGAAGCATTCTTGTTGGGGTCAACACTTTTTTAGTTTTAGCCTGTAATATAAGCTTAGATTCGGCCGGCCACTTTTCGATCTAACTATGATGTGCAGATCTTGGCCCTGAATTGTTATTGTAAGAAATAGATTAGACAGAGTGCTCGCCATTCAGGTGAGCAATGGTTACACGAGGACAAACATTCTTCCCCCAGGAAGTCACAAATCTCAAAAGGTTTTTGACGGGTGAATGCTTATTTCTTTTTTCTTAAACGCAATCCACATTTTTTTTCTTCTTTTGATTAGCGATACTATTTGTGCTTAAGATATTTACCATGCAAAATGGCTTGGAGAGAGAGAATGTCTGGACTGAAGTTAAGGATTATTTGGAGAGCTTAAAATTCTGATAAGCAACTGATTAGTAGCCAACTTTTGACAATCTGGAAAAGCTGGGTTTTCTAGTTTTTGACTTCAAGTTCATTTTCTAGATTCTACAAATACAGTTTCTCAGAATCTGGACCAAAAGCTAGACTGTTTTAGATAGTTTTTGATTCTGATAGAAGTTGCAACAGCCAAAAGCTCTCCCAAACTCCCAAACAGGCCCTTACTATCAAGTGTCATTGCATAGTACTTTGATAGTTGATGGATAGGCTCCGAAAAAACAACTGCGAGAAGAGTGTTGCTTGCACAATATGATCCATATACAATGGCTCTGCCCATCAGGTTATTTTCCAACCAATGGCTCCCGTCCCTTTGTCACCCCTGAGATCACTTTCTTGGTTGAGGTGGTGGCTTTGATCTGACATGTTAGCATAAGGTCACTCGCCACACCACCATTGTAAATGCTCTTAAGCAGCCTCTCTAGCGATTCCATAATGGTGAGTCAGTGACAGAGCAAACCATGATTTGAGAGAAGGAGCATATTTGGAATGCTATGATATCTTGGTTTCATACAGGGTTCAAAATTTAGGTGAAGTATCTCAAATTTCCAACTGTTTTATATACAAAACAATTTATTCGATATACGTTTTTTTCTCTCTTCGAAGAGAACAAAATACTTGCATGAATATAGTTTAGGTCCATACATCCATACCCTTTTTACATGGGCACACAATCCATGCTTCTCCCCACAGCCCAACTGTTAGCTAGAAGAAGAGATTACATGACATGAGCAAACCATCGATTCTATTCTTCCGTAGTGCTACCAGGATCATTGCTGTGTGAAAACTGAAAAGCCATAACGAAAAATTCCATAGTGCTCACGACCAAGACGTGTGCCACTAAAAACTAACGAGTACACGAGCAGAACGTGTGTGTGCCTCTCGAGTCACGAGCTGCTGTACACCAGGTATGCAGATGGGGGAGGAGGAGAGTACGAGACTACCGGATGTAAACCAGAAAAAATCCGTAAAAAAGCCCTCCAAAATACTACTCCTCCTACTGCTGCTGCTGCTGCAAAAGCGAAAGAGGATTAGCTGAAACCGGGCAAAAGGGAGGGCGTTTGCCACCTATTTCACCACACGGCCGCGGCGTTTTGTGTGGCCTTCGTCTCGTGTTATCTCTTCTCTTCTTCCCACCCCCTCTCTCTCTCCTTCTCCTCCCTTCCGCCTTCATCATCGGCGGCAAACCCCTTCTTCCATCCACTTCCCCCACCGAATTCGCGCGCGCGCGCCCCGTGGCTGCGGCGGAGGGGAAGGTGAGGACGGCGGCGGGCACGGCCACGGCCTCCGAGCCGCCGATGAGATTGCGCGCCACCGCGACATGCAACCCCCGACGGGCGCCGTGTCAGGTGATGATCCCCTCCCCTCGCCTCCCCTCCACCCCGTCATCTCGGCTTGCTCCCCCCGCGCGATTCGGTCCGCGGCTGCTGATGATGATGCGTCGCCCGCGGTGGATGGACTAGGGATTGGGGGAATTGATGGGGGAGCCCTGATGATGGCTTTGTTTGTTTGTTTGGTGGTGGTCGCGGCGTGCAGGGTCGTCGTCGTCGTCGCTGGAGTGCGTGAGCTCGTGCAGGACGTCGTGGAGGGGCGGAGGGAGGCCGTACGAATGCAGCGTGCTCTCGTGCGCCTGGAACGCGCCGCGGGCGCTCACGGGGGCGCTCGCCAGCACCACCGCGCAGTGCTCCTCCTGCAGCCACGCCGAGGCTGGGGCAGGGTGGAGGCGGCGGGGCCAGTCGCAGCGGAGTAACAATTCGGTGCGTTGCTGCCTGCATAATTGATTCTGTCATTTACACGTAATGTTGATTGGGATTCGCCATTTTGGCTTACTTTAGAGTTAACGGAATGGAAAAATGGAGGTGCTTACTAGTGTTTTATTCCATTTCGTAGCATCAGGTCCCTGAGCATCACTGAAACTGAACGATCTCATGACTAAAGCCAATATATCATACATGTTTTGTAGTACAAGTCAAGTTGGTCAATCTGGCTATCAGGTCATACTGAAGTTAGTTCACTTGGGGGAAAAAGGCTTCCATCTATCTCATTTCATTATTGCATATATGCTTTGGCTATAAACACTACAAGTAGCAAGTCCTGCTGATTCTCTTCAAGTTTGGCTTGTACATAGACATAGGTAATGGTTTTCTGTAGATTTTGTAAGTGTTATTTGATGCCATCAGAACATATTTCCTTCTTAGAAAATAAATGGATAGTGGTTTTGTACTTATATATTTTCCTTGTTAAGACCTTTTATTTAGAAGTTATGGAAATTTGTGATGAAGCCTTAACCATATGAAGTTTAGTTCACCCATGGTTCCTCCATCTATTAATTTAATTCTTCCCAAAGTACAGGATTGGCACCATTTATTCCCTGGTTAATGATTCAGTTACTCGGCTTTCTCCTTGATATTTTTTACGGCTGCAACAGGTTGCTAGTACATGAAACAAAGAAGTCTAGGGGCAACATTGGTACTGTGCTAGAGATCGTGAACGGTAAAGCTGTGTATTGACAACGGAATGTGGATTTGGTTTGGTCCATCTTCTTTAGGAACTAGGATGCTAGGGAAGAAGCAGGGTCAATTTGGCGTTTGGCAACAAACATTAGTCAATTTGGCGTTTGACTAAGTTTATTTGTCTATAAACTTAGTCAAACTTAAAGCAGAGTCATCTTGAGCTAGCATGTTGTGAGCCTGTAAATTAACTTGACTATGCAATGCCTTGTTTGTTCCTTTATTCTGTGCTCCTTGTAGGAGTCTGACCATAATCTAATAGATAAAAATTATATATACAAAAAAAAAAGGTGAGCGTGCATGTTTAGGATAGAATTGTTTGGTACACTCATTTGTGGCTTGGATGCGATGCAAATGCGTTGAAATATATTATAGACATTTCTATGTATATCTTTATTGTAGCGAGTATAGGCTGTTTTTAGCAAGATTTTGATGGCGATCTAGTGGAAATGTGGAATGACATCTGCTAAAATTTCCATGACTTAGGTTTAGCTTATATCGTAACTATTTTCCGAATGCCATCAGAAGGATTGTCTTCACCTAACAATCACCATTCTTCCATATTTATCTCAGCTTTGTTTCCTGTTAATACTGAGCACTCAGTATGTACATGAACTACCCTCATGCCAAATAGAATGGTTTTCCCAAACCATTTAGGTTTCATTTGGTTGGAAGTTGTAATGTATCACACTGGTTTTGTGACAAAGAATTGAGTGTAATGTACGTGGGTTACATCAGACTTTGTGTTCTCTTGGAGTTCTCCTGCCGTCCTACTTTTATTCTTAATTCATGCATCGGGATTAGAGTTTTCCAACCAAATAACAGGTAACGTCTTAATTGTGCACTCAATCATGATCTAGAGGAGAAGTTGCAAACCAAATGCCCTGGTTTAAGTGCTAGTAAATACTTTCCACTTTTTCCTTTATGGTCGCTTATTGACCATGAGTCATTGAAAACATGTTTGGCCTTTAATGTAAGGGGGATTTAACCAGAGTCACCTGTTTCTGATCTACTTGGCTCAAACCGATGGGGTCAAACCTTGGAAAATATCTTATAACAAAATACTACTACCTCCGTTTCAGGTTATAGGATGTTTTGACTTTGGTCAAAGTCAAACTGTTTCAAGTTTGACAAAGTTTATAGAAAAAAATAATAACATTTTGAACCCAAGACAAATTTATTACTATGAAAATATATTCAATTATTGATTTAATAAAACTAATTTGATATTATAAATATTACTATATTTGTCTATAAACTTAGTCAAACTTAAAGTAGATTGACTTTAACCAAAGTCAAAACGTCTTATAACCTGAAAACGGAGGGAGTACTAACAAATTACAATTCTAAGTCTGTTATGAATACAGTCAAATGCCATATTGTGTCAAATGTGACATCATTAGTTTTACAAATTTGTAAGGCATCATACCATCTTACTTTTTTAATGGTTGCTGTCACGTTCGTTATCTACATATGAAACAATAATTCTTTGCAATGTCTTAATACTATCAACTTATTTTTCCAGTTACTGCACATAACCTGGGCAGAAGGCATCAACAGGGGGAAGTTTGGTTATGGTTCATCAGCCCATTCTTTTCCCACTGGAAATTTTTTCAAATCTTGGTCAACTTCCGTGGATCCAACATGGAGAGTTTTCTGCTATTCATCATCTGAATCGTTCAATCATATTTCTCCAGAAACTTTGTGGGAGGTTTGTCACTGAATTGCACAATTAAACTTTTTTGCTCGTTTTTGGTACATAATTCAGTTTTGTTAAAATTAAATATAAGAGTTAAAGCATTTTTAAAGGATTTATGATTAATCATTTGTGGGTTTGATCCGTGAAACTTCCATAAAGAAGTCAATAATCATTTTGTGTCTGGTAGTATAGTACTACAATCACCTTCTTCTTAATGTTGTAAACACACTTCATAATTAACTAGAACATACGGCAATGAAACTCAATTCAGATTTGGAAGATGCGGAAGTCTCCAGGTTAAGCACAATTTCCAATAGTGCTGCCATGGTGCATTTTCAAAATGAAACCATTAGTTGTGACTTGTTAGCATAATTTTTGTGCCTAGTATGAAATTTTAAATGTACTATTCAAGTATACTGCCCTCAAATGCAACTCATGGTTGATGTTCGTTTGAAGAAAGAGGCAATTTTGTTTGTGGCGCTTTTAAAATTTATGCGATTGCATGACAGGATCTCAAGCCAGCTATCTCGTACCTTCAACCTGAAGAATTGAACTTTGTACACGATGCTCTGAAGGTAATTGAAGTGCAATAACATTCTTCCACGTGGTTTGTGGACAATATTCTATACTTCTTTTATTATTCCTGGGTAGTGCATGCACCAGGAGGTTGTATCATGTACCTGATTGACTCTTGCAGTTGGCATATGAGGCACATAATGGGCAGAAACGCCGAAGTGGGGAACCTTTCATTATTCATCCTGTTGAAGTTGCTCGTATCCTTGGGGAGCATGTGAGTAATATATCGTTACCACTACGGTGATGACTTTCTGCCCATATAAACATAATGAAGTTAAATTTTCTGTCGTTCCATCTTCTGTGGACATATTTAGGAACTTGACTGGGAATCAATAGCTGCTGGTTTATTGCATGACACTGTTGAAGATACAGACATGGTTACTTTTGAAAGAATAGAAAATGAGTTTGGTGTAACCGTACGCCGTATTGTTGAAGGGGAGACAAAGGTACATTGTTTCACATTTTATATTTTGCACATGGCTGCAGTGCATGTTTATATTTGGTATATTTCTGCAAAATGTTTGTGATCCAGGTAGAGGGATTTTAATGCTATAACAGACCTATTTCATTTCAAATGCAGGTATCTAAGCTAGGAAAACTTCAGTGCAAAAATGAGGGTAATTCAAAACAGGACGTCAAGGCTGAAGATTTAAGACAGATGTTTCTTGCCATGACAGAAGAGGTTTTTTCTTTTTTTGTTTCGTCATGTAGACTGTTATTTATCGAGAGCTATTTGAACACCCTACTAGGTTCCATGAAAATTTAAATAAAAATTGTAGGTTCGTGTAATCATTGTGAAACTGGCAGACAGGCTGCATAATATGCGTACACTCACACATATGCCTCAGCACAAGCAGGTAAACTCTTGTTCCACTGAAAATAATATCTGTCCGTAACTTAGTTTCTATTTTTATTGTAAGCACTCTCTTTGCAGTATGCCATTGCCATGGAGACACTGCAGGTTTTTGCACCCCTAGCTAAACTTCTCGGGATGTATCGAATAAAGGTATCTGATGATAAATCATCTTGAAATATAACTGTTATTTCTGTTTATTGTATAGACTAACTTCATTACTGCAGTGCTTTTATGTTATTGCTGTGTTTGCTTACAAACATTTTGTACTACCATGCTGTTGTGTTTTTTCCAATAAAATTTATACTTCTTTTTTAATGATAATTGTTTTCGTGTTTGCTTTTTTGATTTTAAAAACCTGTATTTCTGCTATAATTTGACCAGTAGACTTGTTTGTCCTGAACTTATTAGTAATATTAAGAAACAAGTCCATTTTATCCTTAAATATTGCTCAAGTTCAGAAATCTATGCTAAAATTTGGTATTTCACAACCGTGCAAAAACAACCTCCCTTGCTTAATTCACCAATTTTTCGTTGACTTGGTTTTCTGATTGCCAACTTTATGCTGATGTGGCATACGAATCAGTAACAGCATAAAGTGATTCAGTTGTACAGATTGAAATATTCAGATTTGTTGTTGTTGATTTGGATGCAATGTCATCAATTACACCTCCCTCGGATATTTTAGAAGTCAACTTTTCACCTCAGAATGAGACATCCAAGCCCCAAAACAGTTAAAATCTAACCATCGTTTTATCCACTTTATGGTTTTAATGGTGGTTTTGGAGAGTTAAAAGAACATAATGTACTTCCAAAGTTCAGGGGCCAAAGAAATCAATTCCCCTTAATCTTATGACTGTACGAGATATTTTCATAGTAGTATTTTGTAGTTCAAGGACCAAAGGAAAAAAAATCCAGTTCAAGGACCAAAGGAAAAAAAATCCCTTTATCTTATGAATAGAAGGGGTGGTTTCATACTGGTGTTTTCTGTCAGTCTTAGAAAGGTCTCCTCTGTAGTTCGTTGCATTGTGAGAATGTCGATGTGTTTCTTATGAAGCTTATCATAGCTTCTGGTACTTTGCCTGGGTCCATTTGACCAGTTGCTCTTATTCTTGTAGTCTGAGCTAGAATATCTGTCCTTCATGTACATGAATCCTGGTGATTTCGCTGAACTAAAGAAAAGAGTTGAGGACCTCTACAAGGCCCATGAACAAGAATTGGAAGAGGTACTTTGTTTTTGCTATTGCACTTTGATTTGCATTCTACTCTGAATGAGATTCATTATAATTTTTGAATTACAGGCAAATCAAATCTTAGGGGAAAAGATTGCTGAGGATCAATTTCTTGATCTTGTTAGTGTTGAAACACAAGTGCGTTCAGTCTGCAAAGAACTCTACAGGTAGAGCACACATGATGTCTTATTAATTAAAAATAAGTATTATCTTGAACCTTCACTTCCACTTTAATACTACCCCTGCCTAGTGATATACTGTTGGTATAAACTTGGTTTAGCTTATTTGTTTACACTACTTACAAATGCAATTCATATTAGAGCACAATGAATTTCCTCACAAATTTCTTTAGTTATATCTTTGTAAAAAAGTGGATATTTGTTTTCACTACTTTGTCAATTTGCTTACACAACATCATTAAATAGTGTGGTACAGTTACAGACTGATTGACGTTTTCTGCTGCAAAATCCTTTTTTTCTTCTCATTCACATTTTGCACCTAAAAAGGTGATCAACAATTATTTTTGCATTATTCATTACCAAGTTTGAAATAGGTGGCAAAAGTGTTTTCTTAGGCAGATTATTTATCATTTGGTCATATTGCAGCATTTATAAAACTGCGCTGAAGTCCAAGAGTTCAATAAATGAGATAAATCAGGTTGCACAGGTATGATTTTCCTATGTCAGATAAGTTGCCTAGCTTTATCATTTTAACGAATAACTTATTCTCTGAAAAGTATTGTGTTTCTATATTATTCAGCTGCGGATCATCATAAAGCCAAAATCCTGCAATGGTGTGGGGCCATTGTGCACTGCACAACAGGTATAACATTACAAGTGTAACATACCATCTTTTCTGTATGAAATTAAAATTTACTAATGTGTAAATATGCTCAATCCACTGATGCGCAAGCATTCAATTCATTTCAGATCTGCTACCATGTCCTTGGTCTTGTTCATGGTATCTGGACACCTATACCTCAAGCTGTGAGTTATCTGCTTTCCTTATTCATTATAATTTTTACCTCTTTTGATTTTGCCATTTCTAAAAGCCAGCTGTATAGGTGAAAGATTACATTGCAACCCCAAAGCCTAATGGATACCAAAGTCTACACACGACAGTGATACCATTTCTGAATGAGAGTATGTTCCATTTGGAAGTTCAGGTAATGTTGGCTTAGCTGCCTGCCATTTAGCTAAATTCATACTACAAACTCTCAAGCATGTGCTCATTCTAATGCAAGTTTCACTTTATGTTCCTACTGTATTGCAGATAAGAACAGAGGATATGGATCTCATAGCAGAAAGAGGCATTGCTGCGCACTACAGTGGAAGAGGGGTTGTTTCAGGGCCTGTTCGTCCTGGAATATCAAGTGGAAGGAATTCAAATGGGAAAGTGATATGTCTGAACAATACAGGCTTTGCTCTGAGGGTATATAATGATGTCAAAGCTTATTGCACTTCATATTAAGTACCCCCTCTGTTCTAAAAAATAAGGCGTCCTTGTTTTCAGGAAAAATCAACATTTGAAAACTTTGACTGATAATTGATCTAAAATATTTTTTTGGTGTCATGTATGTAGTACCACTAGATTTGTATCTGAAAATATTTTCATATCATGTTAATTTCAAAGTACCCCAGTTAATAATATATTACTACCCCTGTCCTAAAATGTATGACACCGTTGACTTTTCGCATAATGTTTGACCATTCGTCTTAAAATTTTAGTGTAAATATGAAAAAGTATAAGTTAATATTATTTTGATGATAAAGCAAGTGACAACAAAATAAATGATATTTATATCTTTTTTGAATAAGACGAATGGTTAAACATTATGTAAAAGGTCAACGGCGTCATATATTCTGGGATGGATTATAAAAGAAATCAATGGTGAAAGTATAATGTTGGGATGCTGTGAAATAAGTTAGTACGCTTTATATTTTAGAACGGAGGAGTATTTATTATCACATTTCCTTAAGAAAGAACTCCAAAGACTTCTCATCTTTGATAGATTGGTTGGCTCAATGCAATCCGTGAATGGCAAGAAGAGTTTGTTGGTAACATGAGTTCTAGGGAATTTGTTGATACTATCACCCGAGATCTTCTGGGAAGCCGTGTCTTTGTGTTTACACCAAAAGGCGAGGTGAGGTGCTGACTTGGAGGACATTTCTTCCATTTGAGTTGAGCGATTGGTTTGAATATAGTTTTCATTGGCAGATTAAAAACTTGCCTAAGGGGGCCACTGTGGTTGATTATGCTTACCTGATTCACACAGAAATTGGGAACAAAATGGTAGCTGCAAAGGTTAGTTATGGATAATAGCATTATGATCATCATTGTATTTGTGTGCTCATGTTCTTCCTTTCAGGTGAATGGCAATCTAGTTTCACCAATCCATGTACTTGCAAATGCTGAAGTTGTGGAGATTATAATTTATGATGTAAGTACTCATTTCATATATTGCATGATTTATTTCTGTTTTATATCTTTGTGTCAATTTGTAACTTTCAAGATATGTTTATTGATTGAGCCATGTCTCGACATTGATGCACATGCCCACAACATACAAGTTGCAACTTTGATTGCCCTTTTTTTGTGTGTATATGGGTGATAACCTCCGTCCCAAAATTTTAGGGATCCTGGCATTCAAAATTTGTCCAAAAGTAGTAGGGATTCTAGAGTACTACTCCCTGCTAACCACCTCATTTAATGTTCACCCAATCTTACCCCCAACCACCCTCGCACTACCCACAGACCCCTCAATAAGAGGCATCATAGTCTTTTCCCTTTAACCTTAATCTCTCCAAAAAAATCTTAAGATCCCTTATATTTTGGAACTGAGGGAGCAACTTACACGCCAGTAGGTCTGAAATTTTATTCCAGCATATAACCATCCGACCATGTGGTCTGTAGCATCATATATCTTTTTTCATTTGCAAATGTACTCCCTCCATTTCATATTATAAGTCATTTGATTTTTTTTCTTAGTCAAAGTTCTTTAGGTTTGCCTAAGTTTATAGAAAAAGCTAGCAACATCTACAGCACTAAATTAATTTCATTAAATTTAGCATGAAATATATTTTAATAATATGTTTGTTTTATATTGAAAATGCTACTATATTTTTCTACAAACTTAAAGAAGTTTGACTAAGAAAAAAGTCAAAAAGACTTATAATAAGAAACAGATGGAGTACGATTCAGCTTGCTACAGACAAATTCATAGCAGTATGATAACCCCCTTGGGGGCCAGGATCCTGGCCCATACAAAGGAGCCCTAAAAGGGACAGCAGCATGACAGCTCACATTGTCCCTGAATCAATTGAAAGACCAAAGGTGCATTTCCAGTTCATACCGTGGGATCAGCCCTTCATAGTTCCTAATTTCACACTTGAAAGTTACAACATAATTCTGAGGGAAATAGATGGAAGTAGATGTGATGTCTCTGTGAGGCCATTTGCGATTTTTCTCAGTTTAAGGCATACTGTTACTCTTGCTAGTGCCTTTTATCCATCAAGAGGATTCTAGAGAACTATTCCATTGGCATTGCTTATATTATACCTGTGACATCCATTTAAACTCATCTGCCTTTTCTTGTTTCAGAAATTATCTGCTAAATATGCATTCCAGCGTCACCAGCAGTGGCTTCAACATGCGAAAACTCGCAGTGCAAGACACAAAATTATGAAAGTAAGTCTAAAAGGATTTCTTACATTATTAGATGGTTCTGGCAACTAACCGTTTGCCTTTCTCCAGTTCTTGCGGGAGCAAGCTGCTCTTTCTGCTGCTGAAATAACTGCCGACGCCGTTAATAACTTTGTTGCCGATCTTGAAGATGAAAGTGACTATGAGCAGTCGATTCCAAGCTCTGAAAATAAGGACTATACATTCAACTGGCAGAAGATATTGAATTCTGACAAACTATCCTTTGGAAACAAGAAGAGCGACTGCTTTTTACCTGTTAAAAATGTCTCTGTGCCAAAGGTTAATGGGAAGCACAACAAAACTGTCAAAGAACTGGGCATCAAAATTAATGGTTCAACATTTCGTGGTGATAGCTTCACTGATTTTATTCACCCTGGTGTTTCCAGCAGTAAAGAAGTTCTCCCTAGTGTGGATAACTGGAAAGCTGGTAAAATTTGTGCGTGGCACAATACAGAAGGCAGCTCTATCCAATGGCTCTGCATAGTGTGTGTTGATCGAAAAGGTTTCACTCCTGCCATCTAATTGTTGGACAAAGCTGAAAATATTTTATTAGCTTTACCTCTATAATTTATTAGTTTTAACTAATAAGACGTTGCAAACATGTCCACATTTTGTTCCTTTCTGCACAACTATTTACATCTAATTTATTTTTGGGTTATGTTGTTTTGACCTTTACCTGCAAATATTAATATAATCACTTCAAATGGCTTTCAATATTCATCATAGGTATGGTTGCGGAAGTTTCATCAGCTCTAACAGCGTGTGGAATCACCATATGCTCGTGTGTGGTAAATGGACCAACTTGCCTCAATAATTTAGTATCATCCTTTTTTATGTGATAATCAATGCAACATTGCATCATTTACCCTATTAAGTTCCCATCTTGAATTTGTCAGCCACCTCTTTGTACTGTTTGTGTTTGATCATTTCTGCTATAATTCTTAGGCGGAGCGAGATAAGAGAAGGGGAATAGGTGTGATGTTGTTCCACTTTGAGGGGGCATATGAGAATGTGGTGTGCTTCCTTAACTGATCTGTATTCCTGTTCTAATTGTTGCATTGGGCACTGTACCTAAATAGAAAATTGCAATTGCAGGTCAGTGCATGCTCCGGTGTTGATATGATTCTTGGGGTTCTTGGTTGGTCCGTTGGATGCAGCTGTAATCCTTTGGGTGTTCTTGAATGCTAGCGGACAACAGGCATCACGCTGCATCAGTTCACCATCTCCAGCAAAAAGGAGAGACAATTTTGAAGCACCAAGAAATCAGTCCGCTCAATGGTTCAGGAGCAGTCCGATCTTGGTTGATGATGCTGTGCAACCCATAACTTGTCCTTCAAAGAAGGTAGAGTGAGGGTAGAGCAAGCTGGAGCCGGATATTCTGGTTCGTTTGGAAGCGAGAGGAGTGTACATAGCTGAGCAAGCTACTAGTGAACTGTTAGTCCAGGGATTGGTTGGGTTATAGTATTATACAAAAGCCTCCATGAATGACCAACAATGGCAGCTTCTCTCTTCTATTTTTTTTGTTTGCCATTCGTACACTAGTTATGTATGACATGTGCAGCTAGAATTTTGATCTGATGGGATTCCAATGCCCCAAATTTTGCCCGTATTCGTTATTTCACTCGGTGATTATGACTATGCTGTAGCTTCGATTTTTCAATGGTATAAGTTTTCTTTTCTTACTTTGGGGCCTAATGAAATGCGTTGGCTTAAGAACATCTAACTGGCAGATAAATAATTCAGCGAAGAGTCCTCTGTTTTGCAGAGGTAAAAAAACAGACGCAGTCCATACTGTACAGTAACTGAAACAAGAGAATGGCTTGTTTGCTACAGTTAACTTATATGAAATGCACCTGGATTGCGACTGATTTAGAATGTGGACAATGTGGACCAAGCCAAGCCATTTTCTCACGTCTTACCGAGACGAATCGCTCGTGCCAAGGACTCATTGACCCTTGATTCAGTTGAGAAATGGGAGATATTTCTGTTTGGCATTTGATAAAATAGTCTGTTGCCCGGCGAAAAATAAAATATCTGTTAATCGACATAGTGAGAACATTGATGTGTTTATTCAACTATAACGCACTCTAATAAGCGAAAACTACGTGTTTCGATCTTGTTTCATGTGCTAGCGTGTGTGAGCCACTCTTCAGCTTTGGTGGCGTCGCAGGAATACGCAGTTGAGGTCCTTGTCAGATACAGAGTCTAATTCAATCGCAAAGGTCAGTACTTTCCCTTTGGTTAATGTTGAGGTTTTGGGTCTCTTGACTATATACTAGTATGTAAATATGTATAGTCAAGCTTTAAATAGGTGCACCTAACCACGTCGACGACGAATGTTTGTTTGATATTGGCTTGTCTTGTTGCCTTACATGTCACTGCTGAGATAACGTGAAGAGCACAAAAGCAAGGGTTTTCCCTTTCACTAGATGCGAGTATATGTACAATAGCGTCAAGTGTGTTAACAAGCTTCTTCGTTAAAAAATGGGAAGTGTGTTAACATTGGCATGAATATTGCTGCTGTAGTGCTGTCATTCTCTAGTGGTCTAGTTGCAGGGAGAGTGATGGCAAAGTTTGTGTTGTTCTCCTCCTCCCCTCTTATGTTCTTCTTTTGATCAACACCTGATAGGCGACCAAAGAATCGTAGACGAGAATGACACTACGAGAGAGAGATATATATGCTTAAGTTGCTGAAAGCTTTACACATCGAGAAATGGGGAATGAACCTAAGTCTCTGTCGCCTTTCAAATTGTGTGTCTCATAGGTTGACACGAGAGCAAATAAATAAATAAATGCACCCTGCATGAGCGCATGCGCATGAGACATACTACCTCGTCCTAAAATACTTATTGTTTTGAGTTATTTTTTAATATTTAGTTATTTGTTTTATTTAAAATTTATGGATTATTATTTATTTTATTTGTGACTTGCTTTATTATATGACTTATCTTTTTTATATTTATACTAATTTTTTAAATAAGAGGAATGGTTAAATGTTATAAGAAAAAAAATTCAAAGCGACCACTAATTTGAGACGGAGGTAGTATATTCTAGCTAGCTGTTCATGGATTTATGACATTTTGGACATGTTCCTGAAACCAAAAAGAAGATGAGTTTCAAATATAAAAGTTCGGTTACACTATAAGGCATGTGCTTATTTTTCTTTCTTAACAGACTGAAAGGGAGTGCTTTTAATTTTAGATCATCACCAATGAATGCAAGGTTTAGCAAACCACCTAGCATTAGGGGCGGAGTATTCAGATCCTCCTAAATCATCATGTAAATTTTTAAATACTAGCTAAATGCTCATGCTTTGCTAAAAAAAAGAACATATATTAATGTGTTACCCCTTTTCACTATAAGGAACATTTATCTTACTCTAATTTTTTATGTGGCCGTCCATTTGGATTTTATTTTTTAATATTAAAAAGTTAAGGGGTTAACATGTAGAATTTACAATGAGAGTACGTAGGTGGGGTGACAGATGCACTACTACTACCACCATTGTTTTTTAAAGAAGTATAAAAATAAACAACTCATTAGTTAGCCCTATCCTAGTTCTATTCTTTGGTAATTTCTGGTTCCGTAACTGCCTATCATCAACCATTTTCTGTGTTTGAGCTGAAAACTTTGCATGCTTCTATTCTTTATGGTCTCTTTTGTTTGCTCTACTAGCTATAGATAGATCAATATCGATTAACCATTCGACTATAAAAGGAACTTAATTATATGTAAGTCTAGGAATTAATGTTCCTCTAGTTTATGCTAACACTACTGTGATCGTCCCTGCAGGTTCCAAAAATAGGTAAACAGTAGAATCTCCAGTAATTCGTTTTGGCTGCACGTCTCCATCATCAACGACCGGCACCTACTCGTCACACTGACACACACTTGCATCTATAAACAACGGCCATGTATCAAACTATGGGCTTCTGGATTCAGTGTTTTGGAAGTATTAATTACTCGAGTGAATTGACAAGTACTGTCTCGTTAGATGACCACTTTGTGTTTATCAAGGTAATGCCCAATTGGATCGTTTACTTTTGATGTGTTTCACTTTTTTTTCTTCTTATTGTTACCAACTTTTGTCTTATAATATTATCAATGTGCATGCGTATTTCGATATAGTATGTTCTACTCTGACTCTGGTCTTGGTCTTTAGCTCTCCCTTGCGTTTGGCTTTTGGGCACACCATGCATCTCGATCATCTCGTCAAGTTACTCACAAACGAAGAATTAAAGTATGTTGCAATTTGGTCCGAGTGTCATTAGCATTATATACAAGTCTTCAAATATATATAAGTCGTATTTTATTTCGATAGAATAATATTTTTACAAACAATTACTTTTCTAATATAACTTATGTGATACAAAAGCATAAACATAACTTTCGAATATGAATCAAATAATCTTGATCTCATATCATCAAATTATATCCTAATAGAATATTTTCAATCAAAATTTTATCACAATAAAATAAAATATATATTATAATTTGAAATAGAGGACAAGCTAGTACTCTACCGGCACTTATCGGTTGGCCTAATATATAGTACTCCCTCCGTTTCATATTACAAGACTTTCTAATATTGTCTATATTCATATATATATGTTAATAAATATATATATATGTCTAGATTCATTAACATATATATGAATATGAACAATGCTAGAAAGTCTTATAATATGAAACGGAGGAGGTATTAATTAAATATAGGCTGTACTTCTTATTAAAAAAATTATACGTGGTAAAACTTTTGTATATGTATCATTGGCGATTAAGAAGTCAATGCGCACTTAAAAAATAAACTTTGATAAAAAAAATCAAAAATCAAGTTTAAAAATATAAATTATGATAATGGCTTATCATTTAGTACATATAACAAAAGATGAGAGCTGTAAGCAATGAGTAGTCGCTTGACTTTAATTTGATCTTGATTTGATGGGGGAAATCAGTGGGCATTAACCTGTAGCATTGACGGATTGCTTTGTTATATAGAACCAAGTGCTCTAACTACTAGTTTAATTATTTGACGCCATCATCGTTCACGTGTAGATTAACTCGGTAATTGCATGTCCACACGGATTAGTTAAGTGCACGGAGTATCCCAGCTGTACGTACGTCTACAAGGGGTATAAAATGATATCGCGGACAGAGCTTGATTAAGCAACCACGCGACTGTCGTAAAACCGTGGTCTCGACGCTATACGTGAGCACTTTCACAGCCATATATAGACAAATAATTAAGATACTAGTCACTGTTATTATTGTCAAGTTGCCACGTAAAACAAGAAAAAAATAACCGTCACATTGAGTCCAGTACGTACATGTCCGACACGCTATGCACGGTACTCCCTCCATTCGAAAATAAATCAACTTTCATACATAAATCTAAACATAGTCTATATTTAGATTTATGTAGAAAGATTTTTCTTTTTTTTTAAAAAAAAAGAGTAAGAGCTACTAGTATTGTGGCGAGCCAAGAAATCCTGGTGACACTTTAGATACCTAACTAATGGGATATGATCAAACCTTAGTGTGCAGTGCATTCCTGATAGCTAGTGCTTTTCAGTGCATATATAGTATAAAATCAAAATCTTAGCAAAAATCATAAACATATAGGATCGTGTCAGTACGAATGTTGCTAAGCTAGCAAATCATTATTCTTTCCCCATTACATGGAAGCCCAAGGCCGTCTCTAGTAATTTAGAGCCTGGAACGATATCCAAATTGAGGCCATAAACTTGGGAGCCTAGGACTTGGATAAAATATCAAGGTTACTTAAGTCCTAGGCTCAGGATTAATTCTCGAAAGTCTAAGACTTGGAACGATGACGCGATGTCTTGGCGAGACGAATAGGAGGCATTGGCGTCTCGCTTGCTCTTGTGGATCGTAGCCTCTCGGCGAAGGCAGAACAATTAGACGAAGTTCAACATGTGTAGGTGAACAATTGAACGACTTGCTGGACTCTGAAGACATGACCAAACGAAGCAGCACTACAGCAATTGGGCTTAGTAGGCTCATCTCCAATGTGTTATGAACGACGTATAGAAATACAAAGTAAACGAAAAACAATCACAGCGGAGACACACGATTTAACGTGGAAAACCCCTTTAATGCGAAAGGGGAAAAAACCACGGGCACCAGCCAGCAACAATCTCACTATCTCAAGAGTTTTGGGTTACACGCCTATGGCGGCTTACAAGAGAATCAAGTCTCCACGAAACCCTAGCAAAGGGCATATATACCGTACCGTACCGCGGGGGGGCTCCGCCCCCCGCACCCCCCCCGTGTGTGCATGGGGCGCGGCCGGATGGGCCGGGCTTCAGACTCCGCTCCGCTTCGTCAGAAGCCCGGCCAATATCTTGAAGTGAATTTGGAACAACTCCAACACAATGGTCCCAGAATTTCTAGGGGGTGTGTCTAGAGCCATCGAGCGAGCCATTTTCAATCTCTCATGCATAGAATGACCAAATTAACTACGGTATTGTTAAATCAAGTTCGCCAGAAATTTTGCGGGAACTCTTGCATATTTTGCTTCACCATCCATGCTCCGATGACCCAAACACCTCTAGCTCCATGACCCCGAGGTTACTACAGAATTTGGGTTTAGGGTTCAGGTTAGGATAAGGATAAAACCATGTATTGAAGGATGTAAGGGGATGGGGAAGAGAGGGAATATCACTATGCTTAGAGGAATGGTCGTGTGAGACGATGTCCAATGGTGGACACGGGCGAGCAGTGAGATGCCAAGGCTACAAGAATGGAGAGAGATGGTGGGCCGGTGTTGGTGGAGGGACCAAAGTGATCTTGTAGTTAGGAGGCGTATTGGGCAGGACAGGGGCACCTCACCATGCTTGCTTGAGGAGGAGAGGGGGTCGGGGAGGGGGAGTCGGCACAGTTGGCACTTTATGACCAGTTGGCAAGGCCAGGTGGTGGGAAGAGCGCACGCACTAGCGTCGTGGGATTGTAGCGGGGAGGGAGGGAGGGAGGATGTTAGGGTTAGGAGAGTGCTACACGAAGTTCAAAGCAATCCAACATTTCAAAATTTAAGACTAGAAAAATAGCTCGTGCATTGCAACGGGTGAAGATTTTTTAAATAAAAATATCAAATTAATTTTTTTAGAGATATAAAAGCCTAAACTGAAACCCTGTTCGAGAAAAAGAGTAATAGCAGAAAAAAGATACGATAGCATGCATGGACATCCTATGTTCCCCTCTAGTCCTCCACAGCCGGCCTTGACCAAGCCATAATCTATGCACTCTCTTCCGTTGGACGAATCACATGTTCATAGTAAAGAGCACGATAAGAGAGCAGACCAGACAAGAGCAGCAAGGGAGTAGAGGCTGCAGAGCAGACCAGGTTGGACGGACGGGCGTCCCTCACCCAACCTCAAGCATGCGACAATGACACGCTTGGGGGCATGCGGTAGCTGATGGTGGAACACACAGAGCAACGGAACTGCTGAGAAACCACGGGGCACAAGAAGTCACTTCTTTCCCTTAGGCAGCGATGGCCAGATGGTAGCGTCTTGAGCGCAAAGGTCAAGGAAGGACGCCAAACATACGGATGATATTAGAGAGGAGTTGGGGTGGGGTGCAGGGGTAGGGCCCAAGGTTGTCAATATCAGGATTTGTATCGTAGTATCGCATGATACTACGATACTACCCCAGCAAAATGATACGTGTCGCACGGCAGGACCCCATCGACGAGGTTGGCGGATAGCCACGGGGCAGCACCAGCGGCCTAACGGCGATCCCTCAGCATGCGTAGAGGTTAGGGAAGAGCAGAGGAGAGAGCCCAACAGGATGAGTCCCTCTGTGCGCCAGTGGTGAAGAGGGTGTCGTGGCGGTGGGGTCGACCGATGCTAGGCGCTAGGCGGTGGTAGCATGGTGGGAGAGGTCAGCATGAGGAACTTAGTAAAGACGATCTAAGCGGAAGATATGAGGTGAAGAAACTGATGCCCCAGGTGGCAACCATACCGGAGCTTGCCCTATGTCGGCGACGGCCCGAGTAGTAGTGGAGGTAGATCTAGGCGGCGACCGTGGAGTAATTGATGGGCCTCAGAGCGTCGGTGAGGACGGGCTCGCTAGCACGAGTTGGCAGCGGGCTCAGATGATGCTGGTTGGGGCCCTGAGCCTCGGAAAGCTGGACAACGGATGGAAAATCCACCGGAAGCCTTACGTATTATTTTCAACAGTAGAGATAGAGAGTATATCAGATAGAGATTTGTGAGGATGTTTTTGGTCAAATGTCGAAATAGATCGTCCCAATTAACTAACTAAACCACTGTAAACTGCGCGGCGCTCTCTTGGTGGTGGCGGGCGACAAGTCATCAAGCCGTCTCGCCTAGCCAGCCAGGCTACGACCGGCCGGTCGCGAGGAGGAAGAGGAAGCTCCCCGTCGCCTTCGACCCCCACACCCTACGCATGCAACCAAACGCACGCGAGCGCGAGCGATCGAGCTAGCCACGCGCCTCTCTCTCTCTCTTTCCTCTCGCTATCGCCGTATCTCTCTATATAAAGGCTGGATGGCGCGCATCCCCACCCTCACCTCGCTCTCCTCGTCACCGCGATCGATCGATCGCCGCCGGTTTAGATTTCCTTCCTACGCGGACCGCACCCACGCGCTAGGTTTAGCTAGCTAGTTTGCTTGCGCGCAAGCGTCGATCGAGCTAGCTAGTGAAGATAGATATGTGCGGCGGCGCCATCCCGCTGATCAGCAGCCGCGGCCCCGGCGGCAAGAGGAGCCTCTCCGCCGCCGATGAGCTCTGGCCGCCGCCGCCGCAGCACGCCAGCGACGACCCGGCCGAGCAAGGTAAATAAATACTAGTAGTAATAATACGGCTTGATTAATTACCATTAGTTTGCATATGCATGCTGAATTGCTGATTGCTCTGTGCGTGCAGCGGCGGCGGATGAGGAGGAGCAGGAGCAGCAGCCGGCGGCGAGGAGGCAGCGGCGAGGGGAGCGGAGGACGCTGTACCGGGGCATCCGGCGCAGGCCGTGGGGGAAATGGGCGGCGGAGATCCGCGACCCGGCCAAGGGCGCCCGCGTCTGGCTCGGCACCTTCGCCACCGCCGAGGCTGCCGCGCGGGCCTACGACCGCGCCGCCCGCCGCATCCGCGGCACCAAGGCCAAGGTCAACTTCCCCAACGAGGACAACGCCTTCGCCGCCGCGCCGCCGCCGTACCACCTCGCCGCCTACTACGGCGACGCCTCCTCCACCTCCTACCTCTACCCGATGGCCATGACGCCCGCCGCCGCCGGACTGAGGGAGCAGCAGCTGATGACGACGACGGCGGTGGAGTACAGCGTTAATGACGCCGTCGACGTGGCCAGCGTTTACTTCCAGCCGCCGCCGCCGGCGGTTGCTTACGAGTTCAGCGCCGTCGGCGGTGGCGCCGTCGTCGTGCCGGTGTCGGCGGTGGCGCCGGCGATGACGTACGGACAGAGCCAAGAGGTGGCGGCTCCGCTCATGTGGAATTTCGATGACATCACGGCCATGCCAATGTGATTGTCTTACCGTGGAGATTAAGGCATTTAAAGGCTTATAGATAACATAAATTTGCCATGTATGATCAATGGTTAATTCCTATTGCTCAAGGGCTTATATTAAGGGTTACCTACACGGCATGGCTAGCTTAGCCTACAATTTATGTTTCTTGCATTTCTTTCTCTTTTTTTGAGATGAGCTAGTGTGTTATACTATTTGTTCATCTTTTCTGGTAGTGGTGGATACATTTTCGCCGGCTAGGGTTGGAATTTGTAAATAGAAGATGGTCAATAATAAGATTGTTTCTGGCTACTCACTTCATGCTTTTTCACTTCATACTCCTGTTTTGTGCTTGCTTTACTCTAATTAATAGTCTAATGAGATACTTTCATGAGTTTCATCTCATGTACGTACACCCTGTAATCTTTGATCAGTGGCTAATGGAGGATTTCCCTGAATATTTTTTGTATGCTCTCAGTTCCTTGTTGCACTGAAGACTGATCAGCCAATGTTTTTTTTTTTTCAAAATTGTCTGTTCTATCACAGGGAACTCATTCACATGAGTACAAGACATTAGGGAGAAGCTTAATTGCCATATCTCCAACGTGATGATTGAAAAGAAGAATGTGGATGATTGGTCACGTTCGAATAGGGAGACCGTCAGGCCCGCGCAGGCGTTTGTGCAGCGGAGAGGTTGCTTGCTGCTCATGAACGCTGGGGGCTTCGGAGTTCTCTTCTTTTAGCCCCCTCATGAACCGTTCGATTGAAACCTGTGGCTAGGATCTGAAAATTCTGTGAATAGTGACAGTGTTTGTATATACCAGGTCTGTTTGGTAAAGCTCCAACTCCTAAATTTAACTCAAGAGTTGAATTTGGAGTAGAGTTAAGCAGTCTAAACCCAGCTCAATATCTCTAGTTTATTTTGTGATAATGTTTCACCTAATTTTAATTTTATTTTAGATGGAGCTGAAACTGTTTGGTTAAGACGAAGCTGAAGCTAGAGTTGTGCCTAACAGGCTCGTAGTCTCATGAAGTGGGCTAACTAGCTGAGCCAGGACAGCTTCACCGGCCTGCTCAGGTGATCTTTCCTCGTCGGTGGCGAGCAAGGCTCATAGTCCCATGAAGTGGGCCAACCAGTTGAGCCCAGGACGGCTTCACCGGCCTGCTCAGGTGATCTTTCGTCGTCGCTGGCAATCAGCTCGTCAAATACGTTGCTCAGGTCAATAATAAAAAAAAGAAATACGTTGCTAGATGTGCTCAGCCTCAACCTCGCAGTCAGAAATGGTAATGTACTGCTAAACAGAAGATGAATAGAACCCCTGTGACATGTCCTTACGGCCTGTATGTCAAGGGATTAGTCTATCATTTTTACTCAGTCCCTGATTTTTACTCCAAGTCCCTGGTTTGGCAGTAGATATGAGAATTATGTAAAGTATGGGTGAGGATTTAAGTAATGATGTATGACTCACATTTATCTCTCCCTCAAACTAGCATTTCCCCCAAGCCAAACACAAACTTCCATTTCCCCCTAACAATTCCCCCCAACCAAACATTGTCGTAAGAGTACTCGGTTCATCCCAGGATTTGACGTCAAAACCGACTTGAAAATCTAGGCACAAGATAAAATTATCATGAAAATCTGAGTTAAGACAGTTATATTCGAGTTTAAAACAAAAACTCAGGCAGAAGCGGGGAAAGAGAAGACGAGAGGCCTAACGTGCTGCCAACGCTTGTAATTCTCTGATTCAAAGTGCATAACATTCGAACAAAATTTAGCTGATCCTGGCACTTGAGTAATAACAACACAAGAACTCTGAAACTCAAACAAGAGCTATGTAGCCCATTCAGTGCAACCACACGAATAGCAGGCGATAACTTAGACCTTGAAGCCTTTGCTGTTCCTCCTTCCTCTCGCCTTCTCAAACTTCCTTCCCTTTGAGCGCACGTAAGGCTTGGTGTTGCTGTGTGGCACTCCAGGAGCAGGACCAAAGTGCTTCACTGCTTCCCTGGCGTTCTTAGGACCCCTCAGGAGAACCTGTAATAATGCGAAATTGTCTATTGTGAGAATTTCTGGCATTGCAATGTACTGCAAAGAACAATTATATCCACAAATTCGTAGAGCATATATAAGCTTAGTAGTAAGCAAAATAATATATGTTTATCATTGAATTCCAAATATTTCAAGGATTAACTCCTTGCACACATCAAACAAGGGCAGCAAGAATGCTGAGAATATACAACAATCACTGCAGCCCTTATAAGCACAATAACTTCAATAGTATATCCATTGTACAAAATTATACCATGCAACTCAGAACCACAGGTTCATACAGATATACACACTACACACGAAGGAGTAAAACACCCAAAGAAGCTTTACCACACCTTGTCAACAACAGCTAATTTCCTTTTTGAATAAACCAGACTTCGGTCTGTTTATTTTGTTATGCCAAATGTTCCAAATAAAAAGATAAGCTAATCAGCTAGGTGGCATCAGATAATAAGCAGAGTATTTGTCCACACATTGTATTCAGTGTGTAGGATAAGATTGTGCATCACATGCCATTATTCCATCAAAAACTTCAAAATAAAAGGCAGAACCAATTGAGAGAACAAGTAGCTCAAATACTAGCAGATGTTTCAAGTAAAATTTATGGCTCCACAAATAGCAAAACCAATTAACCAAACCAACTCAAAAGAAGCACGAGAAAAAATAAACAGTAAATTTTGGTTAGACCATTTGGCACCAAAGCAACCATGTAGTCATGCAATGGGCTGGTAAGACAACCTTGGCTCTATGCACCTCTTATACCTCCTCAGCATTCATTAAGTTCTCCGAGAAGAAATTAACCAGCGCAGGTGTTGTGCTCAAAATTATGACCCCATGTTTGTCATATCAGTACTCATCTATATGAACATCCCTATTAACACCTCTATATTACAGGCAAACTAACTCATATATAGGTGAAAGAACATAAGCCAGTAAAGTTTGGGCAACTAGGAAAGCAAAGTTACTTGTTCCCACTCTCAGATGCACTCCAGAAAAGGAGTGCACAAACATGCAGACACTCAACACAACATCAGGTTCTGACCGCCCGTCTGCTTTGTTCTCGTCATTGAGAGACAACAGAGTATTGATAATGCTATGTTCAACTAGAAAAACTATATTTCACAAATAAACTTTAACTTCTAGGCATGCAATGCTCTTCAAGTGCAGATCAAGAGCAAAACCTAAACAACGAAATTTGTGATCCGGCAAAATCTAATTACATTCCAACTTTTCAAGTATACCCATTAGACAAACAGTGCTGGACTCATCATAAATTAAAATGTCCGAGCAGAATCATCAAGCAGGCAATATAATTCAGAATTGAACAGCAAGAATTACCGTGTTCTGGCCCAGAGGAGCGCGGAGCGCCAGCTGATCGAAGGTAAGGCACTCTCCACCAGTATTCACAATGCGAGCCCTCGCGGTCTCGGTGAACCTGAGCGCGGCCACCTTCATCGCCGGCACCTCGTAGACCCTCTTGTCGTCGGTAACGGTGCCCACGATCACGGCGATCTGGTTCTCCTGCAGCCACAAAAACCGAGATGAGTTCCATACGAAATCGAAAAGACGACGCAGCCAACGCGAATCAAACATGGAGCAGACCAACGCGAGACCTTGCCCTCCATGAACCTGACGAGGCGGCGGAGCGAGAGCGGCGGGCGGTTGGTCTTGCTCATGAAGAGCCGCCTCAGGATCACGGCGTTGAAGGGGCTCTTGGTCCTCCGCACCAGGAAGCGGTAGAGCTGCGCACAGAGATCGGGATCGGGGACGCGATGAGACTCAAATCCGAGCGAGCGCTAGATGGCGAAGACGACGGGAGGGGACTGACCTTGACGATGAGCTTGAGGTAGACATCGTCGGACTTGGGCGCCGTGCGCTTGGTCTTCTTGTTCCGGCCGCCGGCGACGAGGTCGATACCCTACGAGTGGAGGAGGAGAGATGCGTCAGTTAGTGAACGAGGCTTATGGAGACGACGCGGGAGCCGAAGGGAAGGGAGGTCACCATGGCGGCGGCGTGCGGCGGCGGAGGGGGAGGTGATTTCTTCTAGGGTTTTGGGAGCGAGACGAGAGAGTGAGGCTTATATAGGTGCGGTGGACTCGAGCCGAATGGGTTTGGGCGAGCCGAATGCGTTGGGTTGGGCCAAGGCTGCCATTCGTTGGCTCATCGTGGCCGTCCATTCATCCTTACAGCGAGTATAGCTCATCGCTGCCGTCCATTCGTTTCAATGAAGTCTGGTCTAGCTTTCTTCCAGGTTTTTGCCACCGATTATTTGCTCCAATTGTATAAAAATATGATTTCAAAAATAAATTTCTTGTACTGTGTTACTTATTAAACCACTTGTTTTAAGTTATTTATAAAGTTTACTTCATATGTTTCATATTATAAAATGTTTTGTGTTTTAAATATTTATACATGTATCATGTATTTGCTTCAAAGATTTGTCCAAATTCATATGGATGTTAGTGAATGTAGACGAGTGGTGAAGAACCCAAAAGGTATTATAATGAGGAATGGAGGGGGTATTTCTTAAAAAAAATAATTTATCATGCAAACAATTCACATCAATAGTCCCTGCAAAAAAAATCTATTTCAAACGGTTTATGATTATATTCTATAGCCAACGAAGCATATCATGGTGTAGAAGTATACTGCATGTTGAAATTTGCAAGAAATTGAACAAGGGCAAGAACGTACGGTTTGCTTCCAGTACATTATATATCTCTATGTACTGTGCATGAGAAATTGAGAATATCCAAAAACTGGTCAGTATCTATTGCTATTTACTCTTATCTTCCTTTGGCCTGACGCCAGCTATAACTTATGTTCTGAATGAATTTGTGATCAACCCTAAGCAAAATCTATTCGTCTTCTGCTTCCTCATCAGAATCCTGGACAATGCTGTTCGTCTTAGCTCTTTTCCGTCTCGCTAAGACTCTTTCCCCCTCTTCATCAGATTCAGAATCTTCAACTGTGTTATCACTGCGTGCACTGGCCTGTGGATCTTCATCACCATTTGTTTCAAGAGGAGCATCTGGACCTTCCGCGTCCTCCTCAGGCATATTTTCAGATGACGCAGCTCTGGCTGCAGTAGAGTTCCTTTCCAGTTCGTCCTTCGATTGAATCTTAAAGTCTCTTGCCACGCTGCGCTTGGCATGCCTCAAGAGGTTCACCTTTGTAAGCTTGCTCAGCTGGATTAAATACTTCTCGTAATCTTCGATCTGGAAAATAAGATCTGGGATGCATTTGCTCTCTCTTTTGATCCTAGCCAGGATTCCTCTTTTTGACGCTTGCTGATTCTGCAACCGAAATGGAGAGGAGTAAAATAAGCTACAAGTAAACTCAAGCCATAAAAGCATATAAGCATCACAGGTGCGTTTCTGCGGTGATGCAGACCTCTTGAACTAAAGCGACGAAGACGTAAAGTGGAGCAGTCAGCATCCTGCAAGTTACTTCTGCCAATTTCTGAAACTTGAGACCTGGCATGACTTGTTTGTATCCCTTAGGTGCAATCTGAGACTTGGCCATGCGAGCCAATAGCTTGTACAACTTGGCAGTCAGTTTCAGAAACTGTTCTGCCTGAGAATCTGAAAATGAAACGATAAAGTGAGGCTGCATGTAGGATTTGAATAGAAAGGGAGTATTCTGGTACCTTATAACCTACCCTTAAGGCTTGTATGTGCAAAAGACGAAAGGACATGAACTACGGATGTTGATCTTGAGTACAGTGCTTCCTCTAAATATAGCCTTTGCGTCCTTTCATCAGCAGGTTGATCATCCTCATCAATATTAGCAGAATCATATGCTAATGCAAGCATTACCTTAAGCTTACCAATTACCCAATCCAGCTCAGTAAGAGATGATTCAACCATTTGAAGAAACACAGCAGCAAGTGAATTCTTTGTTTTACAATTTATAACAGGAAATGTCTCTGACGAATCTCTCGAGTCCTCTTCTCCAGTGGTTATCAACTTCAACTCTGCAGTCATTTCATGCACGAGAACCAGATCATCTGGAGCTATCATAAGATGGATAGCAAGTTTTACCATCTCCTGTGCAATGCTTGGATTCTGGAGAATAGTTTTTTGACACAAACTTGCAGCCCAATGTCCAACAAGGTGACTTTGTTCATGATGTAGCTTTCTTGATATGCCGAGAATCAGTTCAGTTACAGCCTACAGAAATGAAAAGAACTTCAGTTTACCACCAAAGAAAAATACCAAACTTTCTTAATTCTAACTATCCACATGCCTCTTTCACGAAAACTCTTCTAGAATAGCTATTTCTAAACTGTAGAACATTTATATTTGGCATGCTCTATACTTGAAAAGGAAACAGGGTGGTTGAATCATGTTGCAAACTTTTTGCCAATACTTTCTACCAGAAACATAAAAGGACAGAACAAGCTAAGTCTATATTACTTTTCTTGCAGGGATAAGTCTAAATTACTTGGAAGTTAATTGTGAGGAACTGCTGCGCATAAAGATAAGTGATCAACAGGGAATGCGTGAAATAATCCATCTATGCATATTCATAACGAAATGATAGTGCATAAGCATCTAGTGTGCTATTTGATGGTATTCGTTTGGCGTGCTGACTAAGTTTAACTATTGATCCTATTTGACTAATTTAATTCAGTAAAAAATCATCAAGTCATCATACATTCCTTTACTGTCCAGATTACAAATAGATTTACCTCAGATTCACGTGGTAGTGACTGGGAAAGAACTCGAACATATAACATCTTTAATATATTCAGAAAAACATGGACACTTCCTGTATTTGGATCAGTGTCATTCCTGCCAAGAAGCTGGCTGCAATGCACCATATCTTCTATATTTGGCGGAGCTGATGATACCAGGACATCAATAATATCACCAGGATGATCTTCTGGAACACTTAGCTTAGACATTTCTGTTAGGCATGTCAATGCTAGATACAGTTGGTCCTTTTTGCTATCCATGTGTTTCTTCCCTTGGGTCAAGTTCCTCTTGGTTCCACCATTTTCTTGCTTTGAATCTAGCATTATCCACCATATAAGCTGCATCATTGGCCCCACTAACTTTTTTACATCTTCATACAGCACAGCTCTTACATTTCCAGTAGTCGCTCCACTTCCCTTGGCTGCAAGTGATTTGAACATTCTATAACAGGCTTTCAGAACAAAAGATAATAGACTGTGGCATTGGTTCAATTTAGATTGGGTAGGACGCTGACTGCATTTTTCAAGGTTATCAGCATCACACTGCTTGACACACACCCTTACAAGTTCATATAAACTGGAATCCATAAAGGTCTCCCTCCTTTCATTTAATTTCTGCAGTGTTGCACTGTAATACTCCTTGGGTCCATTCATCTGCTTTGCAGTAGAATCACTTGAATTCCCTGCTCTTTGCGCAACCTTCTCCTTATTCTTGCTTTTTTTTCTCTCAAAGCTACTATGTGCATCAATAAGGTCCAGTATTTCTTTTTCTAACATTTCCTTTTGCTCATCAGCTACTTTCTCTAGTTTTGAAGCAGTAAAACCGATAAAAACCTCAATGATTCCAATCATAGCAAAATTATGGCAATGAGCCGTGTCCAAATGTGAAGAAAGAGAACAGGTTTCTTGGGTCTGCCCTCGTTGATCTAGAAGAAATCAAAATATGAATTGTAGCACAAAGGCGTAATGAATACTAGTTTTAATGGGTTGCATTTATATTAGGTTATCACAAACCTTCTGCAAGACATTTCCTCAAGTACTTCTGGGTGTTTGATAAAGCTTTCACGAATAAGTCACTTGATGATAATCTTCCAACCTGGCAGTAGCTTAGGTCATAAGAAATAGAAAACATAATATGATTGAAGCCTCTCGTATAGATATCAGAAAGTTATGAAAGAGCAAACCTCATTATCCTGCGAAGGAGCAAACCCGAAGCACTTCCAATATGCATCTCGTGGTTGTTCACATTTACTATTTTGTTGAACTTGAAGAATACATGAGATACATGATAGTAGGCAATCTATTGGTTCCACAATGCTTACTTTGGCATTCTCGATTTTAAAACACGAGTCAATTTTAAGGGGACATTCTGCATGCTAAAGAAAGTCAGGCAACAACAACTCATTAGAACAACTTCATTTGGCTTGCTAATAGAATCTACAGTATCAAGAAAACAGAGAACACAAGAATCCTTCAGGGGGTGTTTACCTCTGTGTAATAGTTTAGGAAGTGCGGCCAAAGGAAATCAAGGACATTCTCAGCAATAGACGGATCTGAGGTAACAATTTGTATGAGTCCATTGTACAAGACCTCTTTGACTCTAGCCTGTAACAGCAAAATAACAATTTTGGGACTTGTACATGTCTTGTTAGATCTGAAGATAAACAAATGAGATTTGCAAAATATTTGTAAAGAAGTTACACCTGCTGCATGAAACATCTGCGAAGTAATCCACTCAGTTCTTGAAAGAGACCCCCACCAATCTCTAAATGTGTTTCAGGTTGCTGGCTAGAGCTTGGTTGACTAGATGAGTCTTGAAAAGGATTTGCTTCGGTTCTCTTATGCTTGTTCTCTGCAATAATCAGTTCAACAATAGCATTTGTGGCAGCAATCCGCACAGCATCCTCCCGCTTGAACATGGCCTTCCTTATAACCAATATTATGTAATCCTGTAAAATTGAACTCTACAACAATCATCATACTGCTGTTTACAACCTCATAGGTATGATTTAAAGTTAAGTTCACACCTTTAGATCACGGCTAAACTTCGTGAGTGGCAGGATACAGTTGATCAGACCAATTGATATCTTGTCATTCAAGAATGCAAAATAGTCCAGCAATTCTTTAAGGTGCGAAATGTATTCAAGCATTTGAAATGGATGAGTACGAACTAAACCTCCAAGCAGTCTGTAGGGGCAGATAATTTTGTAAGTATATGCTGAATTGGAGGATAAAAGTTGCAATTAGGATCCTGAGCCTTTATTACCTAATGACTGGTAAACTTTGAGAAGGCTTCACGGAGAGAATCCGGAACTTGCACTGCTCGATTATCTGACCTCAAGTAGATAAATTAGAAACACACCACATGATATTAAACAAACTAAGCAGCTACCCATAATTGACAGGACAAACACAAAGATAACAAAAACTTTACACATACCTCAGTTCGTGCCATTCCATGGATATCAAACAATGACTTGAGCATATTAACACCTACTTCTTCAGTGCTCATAACCCCTTCATTGAAGCCAACTTCCTCCTTTCTGTCACTATCTGAGGCCTCCAACAGGAGAAAACCCACTTGAACAATGCTTGGCACAACATGCTCCCTTCCACCAATGCTCTCGCCAACCTACATATATGATCCACCAAATATTACACTGAGATAACTAAGAAACACAAACTCCAACCCTTTCATGATTCACATCAAAGCTTCGGAACAAGAATCGCTCACAGCTTTCAGTAATGCCTTCTCCACGCAGTTAGCAGCCCGGGCGCACTCCCCTTTCAGGCATTCCGGCAACCATTTGCAGCGCCTAAAAACAGAAGCCACCCAATCAGAACAAATTTGTACTTATACTTCACAAAAGCTGAACATCTCATGTAGCTTCAGCCATTTCCCCTCACCTCGATATCCGATAATCCCGGCGAGACGTGATGACGGCGTCCCGGAGCACGCCCACCGCGGCGTCGTTGAACCTCCGCACGCGGGCCACGGACAGCAGCACCGCCACGGCGAACCCGCTGAGCGTCCCCGCCGCGTCGGCCTTGACGGCGGCCACGACCTCCCTCGCCAGCGCGGGGTCCTGCTTGACCGCGAAGGCGACGTGCATCAGCACGGTCCCCTCCACCTGCCGCGCGATGGACGGCGGCGCGCGCAGGCGGGCGCCCCTGTGGCCGCCGAAGAAGCGGAGGAGGCCCGAGAGGACGGCTCGCGGGTGGAGCGGCTTGGAGGCGAGGAGGAGGAGCTGGTAGGCGAGCGCGGGGAGGTCCTGGGCGTCAGCGGCGGGGAGGAGGGAGAGGACCTTCGCGACGAAAGCCGGGACGCGGTGGCGGTAGGCCGCGGGGAGGTCGCGGAGGAGGGAGGCGACGGCGAGCAGGGTCGGGGATGGCCAGCTGGGCGCGGAGAGGAGCGCGGAGAGCGCGGCGGCCGCCGCGGTGGGGGAGGGGGAGAGGGCGAGCACCGCGGGGAGGAGGGCGAGGTGGTTCGGCGGCGAGGCGGGGGAGAGCGAGGAGAGGACGTCGTCGAGGCCGTCGGGCGGGAGCGCCTGGAGGAGGGGCGCCGCCGCGGAGGGGTCGCGGGAGGCGACGCGGAGGACGGATTCCGCGGTGGGGGGAGGGGGTTGCTGCGACGGGGGCGTGCCGTAGGCGGCGGCGGCGGCGGCGGCGGACGCCGACATCGCCGGAGTTGCGGTGGTGGCCGGCGGGGAATCTGGGGGTTCGGGCGGGAACGGGGGTGGGGTTTTCCCCTCCAGGAGGCCGCCTCGCTTTTCCGAAGGAAAAAGTACACCGGAGGTCCCTGAACTTGTCATCGAGTTAGAAAAACGTCCTCAAACCACAAAACCAATATCCGGCGTCCCATAACTAATCAAAACCGGTCACAATAGGTACTTCGGTGGTTTCGATCCGGTTTTGTCCTATGTGGCGGCTGAGTCAGCGTGGGACCCCACGTGGGCCCCACATATCAGGGTCCACATCATATCTCTCTCTCCCTTCCTCTCTCTTTTCTCCTCGTTCACTCGCTGCAGGGCGGCTGGCAGGCGCGCGCGGCCGTCGGGGGGCGGCGAGCGGCGGCCGTGGGAACCGCCCTTCGACGCGTCCCTGCCGGCGCCGCCCATCTCCTACCCCATCACCACGCTCGCGGCGCTCGCATCCCGTGCCTACCTCTCCGAGGACGGCAACTTCCACCTCCCCTTCAACCGCGCCTCCGTGCCGGCCCTCGCCTCCTCGCCCCGGGCCGCGCCGCTCCTGCCCCGGCGCCACATCCTCGCGTGCCACGACTTCCGGGGCGGGTACCGCGACGACGCAGCGCCGCAGGGGGGCGACGACCCGGGCGCCTACGTGCTCTGGCACTGGCACCTCATCGACGTCTTCGTCTACTTCTCGCACTACCTCTGTCACGCTCCCGCCTCCGTGCTGGGTCAACGCCGCCCTCCTCCACGGCGTCAAGGTGTCCCCCCCCTCCCCCAAAACAAAATCTCCAGCTTCATGGGAGTTCTTGCTTCGATTGAGTGGATCGGGATAGGTTCTTGCATCCGCTCGATTGACGTTTGCTTCTGCTTGGCGTCTGTGAGCGAAGGTTTTGGGGGCGTTCATCACAGAGTGGGATAAAGTGGCAGAAATCTGCGAGGAGATGCTTGCTACGGAGGCTTCTGCCCAAATGTATGCTGAAAGGCTAACAGAGCTGGCTGGTAATTACTTTCTTGATGTCTTGAGTTTGATATTGTATTCTAAATGATACTTTTTGAGGAAAATATGCAATCTACCAACTGAAAAGATGATTCACGTTCATTAAATGAGATTTTGTGGATGGTAGGAGGAGGCGGAGAGGTCGGCGTCCGTGATGAAGCGGCGGAGCTGGGACTCAGTAGGGGGAGTGGGACATCCGGCAGGCCAGTGTGGCGGGCGTAGCTGCCGCCGTCGCTCCGCCCTCCTCCTCACGCCTCGGCCCGGCGACCTCCTCCCGCGTGGTTGCCACCGTGTCGTTGCCACCGAGGGAGGCCGGCGAGCTTCGTGGTGGGATTTTTCGTCGGGACGCCTTCTCCCGCGTCGCCGCCGCCGTCCTCATCCGCTCCCGCTGCTCCTTTGATGGTGCCCGCGACGGTGCCGGTTCCAGGAGGTTGTCGCCGATGGCGGCGGCGGCGGCAACGACGGAGACGCACGGACGCGCTACAGCCGCCGCCGCAGCCGACGGAGCCGCTCCTGGGCAGACGCGCTACGGCCACCGCCGCCATCGCGCGGACGCGCTACCGCCGCCGTCGTCGACGGAGCCGAACGACTCGTCTGGGTGTGTGAGCAGTGTAAGAGAGAGGAAGAGAGGAGGAAGGGAGAGGAGGAGGAAGAGGGGAGGCTGACGTGGATAGTCTGACATGTGGGGCCCACGTGGGTCCTACGCTGACTCAGCCGCAATGTAGCACAAAACCGTAGTCAAAACCCCCGAGGGACCTAAAGCGAACGGTTTTATTAGTTAAGGGACGTCCGGTATCTGGTTTTGCGATTGAGAGACGATTTTGTATCTCGATGACAAGTTGAGGGACCTTGGGTGTACTTTTTCCTTTTCCGAAGAGAGTGAGGGGCGAGTGGTAATTTGCTCGGTGGCCGTTTCCTAGCCCATAAGATGGGCCGGCCCATGGATCTGGGAGGCAAAGGCCTCGTCTGGATTTACCGATTATAGTGAAAATGGGCCTCAGCCCACTCTATACCCTCGTCCAGAGCCCCTAGAGAGAGAGAGAGAGATGCGGAAGGAGGAGAGGGTGAAGGAAGAAGATGGAAGCATGCTCCACGTAAAGATTAGGGGCGGGGCTAATATGTTCATATAAAATATGGTTGAAAAAAATATCAAAACATGCCTAAGGTATAAAACGGCGTGGCTCAAACTTTAGATGTACTGTAATAACATGATTATAAATAGGTGAATGATAGTGGTTGATCTAATTAGCCTAGAAAATATGAAAATACGAAGATTAACTAAGGCCACGTTTGTTTCAGCTTAAAATTATTGTAATCTAGATTATTAAATCAGATTATTCTAAGCTGTATTATAATAAACTAATATAAAATAAGCTGCGAGTTGATTATTTCTCTGGATTATTGGAGGCATCTAAAGGTAGTGGGTATTTAGCCACTTAATAATCTAGAAAAAGCTCCTTCAGAGAAGATTATTAGATTATACTAATCTGGCTTATAGATTATAGTAATCTAGCATAATAATTTACATGTCTGTTTCAGCTTGCTCCTAATAATATAGATTATAATAATTTTAAGCTGAATCAAACAGGGCCTAAATAGACACTTGGAAGCTAACATCTGACTAGCCTCCTAAATTTGCTTTATAAACGTATTACCTTTTCCGATTTTATAATTCTTGACATTTTAGACTAACAAGAACTTTTAAAATATTTAATTTAAAGATACTAAAACAATATATATAGAGAGAAAGATTCATCTTACAAAGCACTATAATAAAAGTAAAAATGTATTTATTTATTATATATATCATAGTATATCATAGCATAGTTAAAGATATATTTAGAGGTTATATCACTGTTTTATACATCAAAGAATTATGGAACCAATGGGAGCACTATCTTTTAAGTCCGCCCCTGCCTAACCAACGAGCCAAACACTGCATGAAAATGCTAATAAGCGCACTCGTGCTTGGAGAAAGAGCACCGGTCGCCATGCATGATAACATCCGATGATCCGAGCATGCGGTCGAGAGTGCGCGCGTGGCATTGGCTCCGGATGGCACGCACGCACGCACGTAAACGTGCGTGCGTGCGTGCGTGGTCGCTCTCATCCATCCACAGTCGTATTCGCACGAGGCAAAAGCAAAAGAACCTACTGCGAGACAATACCGCTCCAGCCACGACTCCATGAAGCTACCTACTCCGCTAGCAGCAATTGAAACGTGAACACTTTCCCAATATAAATATATACCTTAGAACCAAAATGTAATACGTACACAACGAATATGTACAGTGTACTATCAAATGCCACATCTGATGATTATATATATATATATATATATATATATATAAACGGAGTACGTGACAGCAGTAGTGGTCACTCAATTTCTATGACGTCCATGCATGACTCCCACAGTTCCACACTACCGGACATCACAGGACACACATCAGCAGAAGGGCTTATGCCCGGGATATCTCCAAATCTCCAATTCTTTTGTAGCCAGCGCATGAGATGACGAGACCGTGCTTCCACTCCGGCGCGACGTGTCCCCTCCGGGTCTCCAGAATGTGCGCTTCTCCTCGCCTGCCCCCTTTCCTCCCACGGTGAGACCGATCCCAAATCCGATCAACAGATGGTTCAGCTATCCTAGTTGTTAGAATAAGCATCGTATATAATAGTTCTACTAAAAGTAAAATTTAAAGCTGAGATAAATATTGGATAAAGTTAGAATGAAACTTTGTCATAAGCTCTCTTGAGAGAGAGAGAGAAAGAACACCACGGTACAACTAATAGTGACTACAATATAGCGTAGACCATGGATAGGGTGAGACCATGGACTTGTAGCGGCTAGGTGCTATACAATCGTGTGTTTCTGTGTCGTCATCTGACGTAGTCTTGCATGATCAACGACAGAAGCGATTGGAAAAATTAGTTCGGTTTCGCTATAACGATTAACTTTTATAACACCGGTATGTGGTAATAGTAAAGCTAGTGGCGTCGTGTAGAAAAGCTACTGGAGCTTCGGTGGATTTCGAATCGTCGCAGACGGAGAGGCAGATCGAATCAATCATACAGGAAAGGTGCCTAACGAACCCAAAGAAAAGTAAGCACTACTAGTTCCCGTCGACCCGGAGGATCCATCCGCCTAAGCCTAACTGCTCAAGCAAGACTAATTACCGGTTGTTTACCCTACCTAACCAAAAGCAAAAGCATCTTTGGCTAGGCATTAGTAGGAGATAATTAGCACCAACGTGTGGAATTACGCTGGGGGATGATGGATCATATCGATTCGATTCGATTCGATCGAGTAGGTGTTCGTGGTGGATTTCGCCGCTCCGTTAAGCGCCGCGACCGACCGAACCGACCGGCCGGTATGGTTGCGGGTCCCTCGCTTGTGTCCGAAAAGATCCTAGCCAAACACCTGCTATTGTTAATGTCACTGCTACACCGAAACAAACTTTTGTGCTATATATTCGTCGCCGTTTTGTCTGAGATACTACTCCTCCTCCATCTCTTGTCATCTTATCCGTATAAGCTGTAGCTTAGCTCTGTTTCTAGAATTAGCTCCAGCAATGGCGGATCCAAGCTTCTTCGTCGGAATCGTAGGTCAGTACTAGCTAATTTTCTTCAGTTCCTTTGTCTTTTCCGAAGTCTGAAGAACCCCAGGGTAATCTTGCTGTTTGATTAATCAACTGCGTGTGACAGGGAACGTAATCTCAATACTGGTCTTCGCGTCTCCAATGTGAGTGAGTTCAACTGTATATATATTGATCTCCCACTAAGAGCTGATGCTGTTCAAGTTCGTGTGCTTGATTATTTGATTGATTTTGGGTGTTGTGTTTTGGGGTTTTGATTAGTGCGACTTTCCGGAGGATCGTGAGGAGCAAGAGCACGGAGGAATTCAGGTGGCTGCCGTACGTGACCACGCTGCTGAGCACCTCGCTGTGGACGTTCTACGGCCTCCACAAGCCCGGCGGTCTCCTCATCGTCACCGTCAACGGCTCCGGCGCCGCCCTCGAGGCCATCTACGTCACGCTCTACCTCGCCTACGCCCCCAGGGAGACCAAGGTATATCTGACTCTGCATCCATATGCTTGGCGTCGCCGATCGATCGACAGTTAAAAGAGAGGAATTCAATCGTGGTGATCAGGCGAAGATGGTGAAGGTGGTGCTGGCCGTGAACGTGGGCGCGCTGGCGGCGGTGGTGGCGGTGGCGCTGGTGGCGCTGCACGGCGGCGTGCGGCTGTTCGTGGTCGGCGTGCTGTGCGCGGCGCTCACCATCGGCATGTACGCTGCGCCGATGGCCGCGATGGTCAGTAAGCTAGCTAGACGGTCACTACTCACTCACCCCCCCCCTTTCACATCCACCAACAAAACTTGTCAAATTCGTCACCAAAAAAAAAAGTTAGTAGAGGGTGTCACACTTCAAAAGATTAATAATGCAATTAAAGTCTGACGAGATTTATACTCATATTACTTCACCACTATCTTGTTTCTTGTGAGAATTTTGTGGCGGAGATTGATCGAGCCAACGCTGTTGCATCTCCTGACGGATCTGTCATTCTATCATTCTGTCATCGAGGAGTGTTTGGTTAGATATCGCTCTCTTCGATTTATAGCAGCATAGAAAAGCAGTAACGTCTCTGAAGATCGCATTCCATCTTCCTAGAACTCGACCACTCACCTAGATCCACGTAGCTGATGTCCCACATAGAGCATTGAATCATCCATCCTTCAGCTACTGTGGTGCTATGTTGCATTGTTCCGCTCTAATTTTAGGGCAAGCATCTGAACGTGACTGTTTCGTCTTTTCGAGTGTCATTTTTAATCAAGATGCTACAGTAATACGAACAAGTGTACAATACTACATTGCTAACTTCAATTTTTCATGTTGTTAAAATCTTAGTGGTGTTTAATTTTCCGGTGGTGTGTTCGCCTTTAATTTGCAAACGTACGTGGCAGAGGACGGTGGTGAAGACGAGGAGCGTGGAGTACATGCCCTTCTCCCTCTCCTTCTTCCTCTTCCTCAACGGCGGCGTCTGGAGCGTCTACTCCTTGCTCGTCAAGGACTACTTCATCGGAGTACGTACAAATCCACACTAATCTACAGCTAATAGCTGCATATATAGCTTAGCTTGCAAACTGACCGATTCTATATATGCATACAGATTCCGAATGCAATCGGGTTCGCGCTGGGGACGGCGCAGCTGGCGCTGTACATGGCGTACCGGAGGACGAAGAAGCCGGCGGGGAAAGGCGGCGACGACGACGAGGACGACGAGGAGGCGCAGGGGGTGGCGCGGCTGATGGGGCATCAGGTGGAGATGGCGCAGCAGCGGAGGGACCAGCAGCTGCGCAAGGGGCTGAGCCTGAGCCTGCCCAAGCCGGCGGCGCCGCTTCACGGGGGGCTCGACCGCATCATCAAGTCCTTCTCCACCACCCCCATCGAGCTCCACTCCATCCTCCACCAGCACCACGGCGGCCACCACCACCACCACCGCTTCGACACCGTCCCCGACGACGACGACGAGGCGGTGGCCGCCGGGGGCACCACGCCGGCTACGACAGCCGGTCCAGGAGATAGACATTAGAAAAAGTATTTTTCTCGATGTGGGGGTTTATTTTCGTAGTCGGATATGACCTTTAGAGCCAAATGATCACATACGAAAATATAAATCGGGGTGAATTTTGATGAAGCTGATGGACCACTTAAGCAGCGCCTGCGAAAATTCGCTTTAGTGATCCGTCTGCGAAAATAGACTTGCCGGAGTTAATTTTTTTTGTAAGTCTCACACCTCTCCTCCCCTCCACACATCTCCTCCTATCCTCACTGGCCTCTCCCCTCCCTTCCCCTCTCCTCCTCTCCCCTCCCCTCACCTCTACTCTATACGGCCGGAGGCGGCGGTGGCGGCGGCATGTGCTTCCGGCGGAGGGTGGTGCCGGCGGAGGGCGGCATCGGCGAGGAGGCGAGGCGGCGCGGCTCCCGGCCACGGCAGCGAGGGGGGTTGAGGCGGTGGCGGTGGCTCCCGGACCCGATCTGGCCGGAGGGGGGCAGGAGGGGGGGAGCACGGCGGAAGGCGGCATCAGCGAAGAGGCGAGGCTCCCCTCCCTCTCACTCCCAGATCTGGCCGGAGGAGGGAGAGGGGGGGCCAGCGGCGGTGACGACGCGTGGGGCGGCGGTGGCCGCTCCCCTCCCCCCTCCCCCCTCCCAGATCTGGCCGGAGGAGGGAGGGGGAGGCCGAGGGGGAGGCCGGTAGCGGCGACGACGGCGCGGGCCGGCAGCGGCTCCTGGCACGGCTTCCCTCCCCTCCCCTCTCAGATCCGGCCGGGGGAGGGCAGCGGCGAGGCGCGTGTGGCGATTTTTTTTTGTTCGTTCCTTGCATTTTCGCAGGCGGGCCGTTGCCCCGACTGCGAAAATCGTTGTGGTGCAGGCGGACCTCCCTCCCGCATAAGAAAATTAGATTTGTCCGCCTGCAAAAATGCTTTTTCTAGTAGTGAGATGTAGTGTACTAACGCATTTATGCATACGTGTTTAGTGTTTGGGGAGTTTGAATTTAATTCTGAGAAGAAGCTGGTTTGGTTTATTTTATACTCCCATCGTATTATAAAACTATCTAGCATTGCCCATATTCATATAGATGTTAATGAATCTAGACATAACATCTATATAAATATGGATAATGCTAAAAAGTCTTATAATATGAAACAGAGGAAGTAACTTTTATAATTATGGCTTATCAAAACCTGAACGAAAACTAAGCTGTTTTGAGAGTTCATAGAGAAGTTACACCTGACGCTCTGACAGAAAATCCCCAAACAGACCGTTGGTTAAGTTTCCTCTGCTTAGTGCTTACATTCTTGGGCCACAAATTAATTAAACGCCCGATTTGGCATAGGTTCTCCAACGGGCCTACGGCCCATACCATGTATGGTCGAATGAAAAACGGCCCACCACAACTTATTGGTCTGGGCCGGAACGGGATAACCAGGCACGTGCTGGCCCATCTTCTGCGAATCCGAGTATAGACGTTTGGGCCGGTTGTAGTGAGCCCAAGGCTCGAGCTGTCGCACAAAGGAAAAAGTACACCGAAGGTCCCTCAACTTGTCATCGGGATACAGATTCGTCCTCAAGCCACAAAACCAGATATGGAAGGTCCCTTATCTATACGAAACCGGTTATAATAGGTCCCTCGGCGGTTTTCATACTAGTTTTATTCAACGTGGTTGCTGAGGCAGCGTGGGACCCACGTGGGTCCTATATGTCAGCCTCCTTTCTCCTCTTCTCTCCCTTTCTCCTCTCTCTCTCTCTCACTCTTCTCTGCCTCTGGGCAGGCCAGCGCCGGGGCGAGGCGGGGGAGGAGGTCCAGCAGCTGGCGACGTGGCGGCGGCGGCGGCGTCCCTAGCCTGTGCAGCTTCAACCGCGCCGACGCCGTCACGGACGACGACGACGGCAGCAGCTGGAATTCACTGTGGACGCCATCAGGGTGAGCTGCCATGAGCTTCTGCTGCTGCTGCATATGCTTCCATGTCCATTGTTCGTAAGTCTCGATTGGTTTTAATAGGTCACTGAGATTGGAACAGCCGTGAAACCTCTGCGGAAGCATGTTTCAAAGCAGATTCGACAACTCGTACGATCGCTCATTGAGTAAGTTAGCATCAATTGTGCCAGTTTCTCTGGTTGATTTCCAACGGTTTCAGGCGATACAATACTTTCATATTGCTGTAATTTGCCCTGATTTATGTCATTGAATGTTTTGACCGTCTTCCCTTCGTCGGTCGCCGACACCCTCCTCTGCGCTTGCGGAGAGGAGGCTGTTGCCGCCGCCTTGCTCCCCCCCTCCCCCCCCGCGCCTTGCTCCTCTCGCCGCCGCCGCCGCCCCTCCCCTGCTCCCGCGTCGTCGCTACTGCCGCCGCCTTGCTCCCTGATCCCGCGTCGTCTCCGCCGCCGCCTCCGCCGCCGCGTCGCTAGGCCTCTCCCACCTCGCCCCGTCGATCTCCTCCCCACCTGTCGGCCCGGCGGCACCAGCCTCCCCAGAGCAAAGAAGAGTCAGAGAGAGAAGAGGAAGGGAGAGGAGAAAAAAAAAAGAGCGTGGGTCCCACGCTGACTCAACGGCCACGTAGGATAAAACCGGGATTAAAACCACCGAGGGACCTACTGTGACCGGTTTTGTATAGTTAAGGGACCTCGCATATCTGGTTTTATGGTTCGAGGACGTTTTTTAATCCCGATGACAAGTTGAGGGACCTTCGGTGTACTTTTTTCCTCGCACAAACGCATGCAGAATCGCGTTGCAACTTGCAACAAGTTGCATTGCACACATGCCGAATTGCCGACCTCGATAATCGCTTTCGTTGTTTCTCCCTGTCTGGATCTTCTGCTGGTTAATAACACGTCGCCTGCACCACATGCTGCCCGGATCGATGAGATGTGGAGTATATATATGGGTGTGTTTAGTTCATGCTAAAATTGGTTGAAATTAAAACAATATGATGAAAAAGTTGGAAGTTTATCTGTGTAAAAAAGTTTCGATGTGATAGAAAAGTTAGATATTTAAAGAAAAAGTTTGGAATTAAACTTGGCCTATATGTATGGTCCATATATACTCTCCAATCTCCACATAGAATCTTTGCAAATTGCAAGCGCACAGTTGTGTATACCCCAAGTTTAATTTAAACTTCATATATCAACAAGCGATCGATCGATCTATATATCTCTCTCTACGTCGCGAGACGGACAAAAAGTAAAGCAGAGACCAGGAAACGTGTAGGCTCCATACGTAGCTTTCTGGTAGAGCTAGCAACAACTAGGCTCCAAGACTAGTCTACTCCATATGCATGCGAGATAAGCACGCTGATATACATGCCAAACAGCTAAGCGTGAAGAACTGATTGGCTATAGCTCTGGCTTGCAAGTCAAGTGGCATATACTCTATGTATATGCTAGCTAGTACAAGAACCTCATAGATGACGGTTGGAAACTAGTCATAGATACTGATTCTTCATTCAGCATCAATTTATTGACACCTTTGCTTCTAGCCATAGGTGTCAGTTCTAGAACCAGCAACTATAATATTCAATGAATCAAACAAAAAGTCGGATGGAGCCGCCGTCACCATAATCAACTTCATTCACAAATCATCACATAATCTCAATTTCATTCACAAATCATCACACAATCTATTTCATCCAAATCAAACTCATCACAGAATCAATTTCATCCAAAAAAAAAGTTGCAGAATTTACATCACCGACACTTAGACTCACAAATGTCATCAAGAACATTAAACAGGACTTCATCTTACCGTGAAGATGAAGAGGGCTAGCTGGAGATCGTCCTTGCCCTGCTGCCCCTGCCGTGGAGCAGCCCGCACTCATTGTGGTGGAGAGATGACGTGATTTTTATTGTGGTATGGGGGCGCTAGCTCAGCTCGGCTTAGGTGCTAGGTTTTTAAAAATCGATACCTATAGTTTATTATAGTTGTCTTTAAAAAAATGTATCAGTATCATATATGCCGATTTTTATCTAAAATCAACACCTATAATATAAGTATAGGTCTTAATTTTTTTAAAAACCTGGTATCCATTCTATAGGTGTTGGGTTTTATCTAGATTTTTCATCTTATAGAAGAGAAAAACGGTAATATGTATCGTTTTTAATAAATTGGCACCTATGAGCCGATATCTATGAGGTGTTTTATAGTGGTTATACACACTCATGTACATCTTTGTCAAGTGCTATATACTGTACATGCGTGGGCATGCCGCATACATACTGTATATGCTGGCCTAATTAGCTGCTGCATAATGTATTTTTTTAAAATAACCACACAAGGAAGCTGCTGCATACTGTGGTACATGCATGTGTGTGTATTGAGAGCATCCACAACGAATAATTTGATCAAGGGTCCTAAGCTCTACCACAGTGTATGATATCTCTCTTACATCACCTTGGAATATTAACTTAAAAAAACTAGAACATCTTCTCTCAAAATTGCTATCTATTGCATTGATTGTTGTCTCTGTATGGACCCCAAAAATGCCCTTAGGCCAGTCACAATGGGGGTTTCACTGGTGTGTCATGCACATTTAATAGGGGTAAGACTGAATAAAAAATGATTATTTGCATGAAATGGGGATGAGAGAGAAGGAAAGAGTTTCATCCTGGTGAAACTCGTCAGCGTCGTTTCCAAGTCCTCGGTAACAGAGTGAAACCCCCGTTGAGGCCGATTCGTTTCATTCACCGGATCTCTTGCGTCCGCCTCCGCCGTGCGACCTCTGCATTCTCCCGCGCCGCGCCGGATTTTGGGTACAAATGATCCCAGCAACTTGTATCAATTAAATGCTTTGCTTAGTCTTGGAAACGTCAAAGTGAAACCCCTCCACTGTGGGGATTGTTTCATAAAAGATTTCATTTGAGAGAAGATGGTATAATATTTTGGGTAGCCGTGCAATGACACTAGCCATTGTGACTGGCCTTAGCTTGCTACTCGGAGCGGGGCGTGAGACCATTTATTCTCTTTCCTTTGTGCTAATGCCGATGTAAAAGATCCATGCAATGGATAGAGCTAGCTAGCATGCAAGTATTTTTTTTTAATCACCTGTGTTCGAACTCTCTTTGCAAGTCGATTTTTTTATCTGACACAATCTAATCAATTCTCACAATGTGCACTGTTCAGTTTCTTTCCTCTAAAATCGATTCCAGCCTCACACTGGAGGTGCTCTGACGGCGGCGGTCGAATTGTAGACCTCGCGTGCGCGTGCTAGCTTAGCTTCAAGTTGCACACGTACGTACATATACGGGAGCTTTGAGCTGGACGACGACGTCCATCGAACACGATATATCACTCAGCTCCAATCTTATTGGAGAGATCGATCACCGTCTCTCAACTTAGATATATACGACAATAATTTGATTTATGACCGACAATAATGACCTGAATTTGCACACGTACGTACACCTACGCTACTACAGTTACCACCACCCGATGCTGATGCGTATAATTAATCTAGCTATAAGCCAAAACCGTTTGACCAAAAGGTGCATGCATGGGAGGCATATTCATCTTGATCAATTCCTCGACGTACGTATATATCTTCTTTCGATTTGGACAACGCAATCACATCGCCTCCACACACACACCACAGAAGTGAGCCCAACCATTGATTCAGTTAATGAAGATCCGGCTGCCTCTGTCAACTAAAAGTTACTGAAAATCTCAACGGGAGAACTTGACCTCTCATCTAATATTCAGTTTTCTAGCTCCGAACTCAAACTGTCAACGGCCAGTTTTCTAAAGATCAAATCGACACATGCACAAAACCTTCTTTTGATTTCAACAAAGTGCCATCAGACCCTTCCCATACACACTAGAAGTGAAATGAGCACAACTATGAATTTATTTAGCTAGTGATCAGGCTCAACAACCTGTAGCGGACACATGTAATTAAAAAATGACGTGCTAATATGTATTATCACTGTAATTAAAAATCATTAGTATAGAAAAAATATAAATGGCTAAGATGAAATTGTAACATTCTTGAAAAGAGGAACGTATCCTATGTACACAAGCATCCCGTGCACACTCCGTGCACACCAACTAACAAATATTATAGAAAATTATAGAAAAAATTGAACACATACTTCCAATAGTATTACATCTACGTGTGAAATCTTATGTTCAAATTCATTGTATTTTAGCTGTAACAAAAAAAAGGCAAAATTATGACATCTTTTTACCCTTAAAACTGTCAAATTTTTAAACTTTTTTTATTACGGTTAAAATATAATGAATTTGAATATAAGACTTTTGCAGATATGTGTAATGTTGTTATGAGTACATGTTTAATTTTTTTGTAGAATTTTTTATGATATATTGCTAGTTGGTGTGCACGGAGTGTGCACAATAAACTTATGTGCATAGGATACGTTCCCCTTGAAAAGGATGATTCTATGCTTAAGAATGTTTGTTTTGACCTAGCTAATTGTATAATGCATGCACATATTAAATCACATTTGTTTGCCAAAAAAGTTGGGGGTACGACTGTAGGGTATGCCCCTGTCAGCAACAACAAATTTCACAATGCTGTGATAGCCTAAAAGTTAGTACTGAAAATGGTACTGATCATCTGCATCACGACCTTCCTATAGCGTTGCTTGAAGGTTTATTTTGTACCTTTTTTTTCTCAGACGGTGTGTCCTCTTGCAGCAACGACCTAGCCACCACAAGATGTTGGGTTGACGGGCCTTGCGGTGGAGAGCGGATCCATTATTCCTTCTCGCCCACTCTCTCCCTCTAACCTAAAGACATGGATGAGGTTGAGTATGTTTGGTTGTCGTGACCCTGTCTGGTTCTTGATAGGTGCTTGTGTTGAAGGTGGTTGCACGCAACTTGTGTTCTTTTTCCGATTATAGCCTTTAAAGTCTATGATTTTGTTTCTTTTCCTTGGTATATTAATATAATTAAAACCTCATACTATATTATGCGGTTCGTTTAAAAGAGGTTACAGAATATTAGAAGACCTTATGCTAGTTAGAGCTCACTAATTATTAATTTCAAATTTTAGAGTTAAATTAATAGAATGCTAAATTGAGAGTCCAAAACAGCTACAACTCCTTATTTGTTTAACTTCGAACTTTAGAAAAACTAAATATAAAGAAGTCCATTATCCCATATATGGCCTGATTTATTTAACATGAATTCTCGATATAATCTACAACCATGGTGATCCAACTAAGCAATGGTCAGATCTTTCTGCTTCTGCTTAGTGTATGAGTTCTCTTATAGTGCTTAATTAGTACCTCGTTATAATTTGTACACATCCCGTTCTCAGGGTTAAAATCGCTGAATTAAAGTGGATTTTGAAGGTTTTGCTAGGTACCAAGTAGGTGATCACTTGTCGAAAGCAACATAAATATACTCCATCCGTTTTAAAATGTTTCACACTATTGACTTTTTAGTACGTGTTTGACCATTCGTCTTATTCAAAAAATTTAAGTAATTATTTATTATTTTTATATCATTTGATTTATTGTTAAATATACTTTCATGTACACATATAGTTTTACATATTTCATAATTTTTTTTAATAAGACGAACAGTCAAACATGTACTAAAAATTTAACGGTGTCAAACATTTTGAAATAGAGGGAGTATAAGGGCAGTCCCAACCCATAATACTAGACATAGTTTACATAAACTCCACATCATCAAGAAACTAGTTCTAGACACTACTCTTCCAATGCAAACACCACTATTCCATACTTCAATTTAATGCTACTTATCTCACATGATGTCTTGGATGTTGTGTAGAAACCATGTCTCATGCAAGACATGGTTTCTTTCTCTTTCCTCATTTATTCACTTGCCATATCATTTTTTATCCTAGGTGACAACTTATTTAATACTATGGATACCATCCTAGTCATTGGGTTGGGAATGCCCTAACACTTCATATTCTTCAACAAACGACGACGGTAATATTAATTACAACATTACAATACATACGTATATGTTTCTTAATTAGATATATGCACGTGGACATGCGTACACAAATATATATATATATATATATATATATATAGCAGCACGTAATGCGACGGTACAAACTAAAGCGGTGCAGGGTAATCGACCATTAGGTCCATTAATTATACTGCCACGTATCGATTAATTTGGGGACTAGCAAATCCGTTAATTTGTGCTTAAACTGCCACAGATGTTGATCTAGACGACGGAGAAGGCCGATGGGACGATGCTAATGATGTTGCCGAGGACGCCACTGATGATCTGCCCGATGATGCCGGTGATGCCGCCGATGAGGCCGCCCAGGCCGCCGAGGGCGCCGCCGCCACCGGCGCCGCCGTCGCCGAGGAGCTGCACCGGCGCCGCCAGCGTCCCGGCGACGCCGGCGAGCGACGCGTCGCACGCGGCCAGCGGGGTGGTGACGACCACGCGGCACCTGTCGTTGAGCAGCGGCGTGAGCGTCGCCGCGGTGAGCTTCCCCAGGTTGATGGCGAACGCGCCGCTGCCGTCCGCCGTCGCGCCGGCCACCGCCCTGCCCCCGCACTCCAGCTGCACGGCGGCGTCTGGCCGTACGTACGTCGTCGTAGCAAGAAAATCAACAATCAGTTAACCGATCAGTTTATCCATATTTGCAAAACTAATTGATAGCTAGCCTTATCGATCGGTCAGGATTACATATACTACCTCCGTTTCAGGTTATTTAAAGTTATAAAACGTTTTAGTTTTAATCAAAGTCAAAATGCTTCAAGTTTAATTAAGTTTATAGAAAATAATAATAATATTTTAATCCAAAACAAATTTCTTATAAAAATATATGCAATTATTGATTTAATAAAACTAATTTAGTATTATACTATATATATATATATATATATATATATATATATATATATATATATATATATATATATATATATATATATGTGTGTGTGTGTGTGTGTGTGTGTTCCTATAAACTTAAGTCTTAGACTCAAAGTAGTTGATAAATTCATGCAAGAGATCATAAATATGAGAGAGATTTTACTGGGGAATCCCGGAACGGACGCCGCGTTGATGGAGCTCCCGGCGCTGCACGGGACTACGCCGGTGACGAGGCCCATGACGGCGCCGCCACTACTAGCCTCCGCGGCGTGCGGCGAGATGCCGACGGCGACGAGGAGGGCGGCGGCGAGGAGAAGGCTCCTGATCGACGACGACGACGACTTTGCCATTTCTACCGGAGCTAGCGAGCTAGCTAGCTATACTAGCGTACGAGAGCTACCGAGGCTGCTGCTATAGCTAGCTCGATCAGATCAAGCGCTCAGTGTTGTGCTGCGTGCCTCATGCCGCTGCATCGATGGCTCTATTTATAGGCGTCGCAGTGGCCGGGGACCCGGGACGTGGCTGGCCAACAATTTGTTGCTGTTAAAAATGCTGGGAAAATATTCCATAAAAAATCATTAAATAAGTAAAAATCCATGAAAAAGTGAAAACCATATTATTTTTTTCTAAGTTCATGAAAAAAATATTAAAGATAGATATAGAGATGAAATACATTGATCACACCGAATCTTAAATCTAAACTCAGCTTCATTTGAGAGAGTAAAAAAAAAAGAAATAAGTTTTAGATGAATAGTGTCCTATCATGTTACGTACCATTCATCCTGAATTTGTCATTTACTCCCAAATAAAGTTGTGTTTGAACTTAATAATAATTTTTTAACGAATTTTTAGAACTTCAAGGTCCTATTAATTTTTTGGATTTGCTATAGTTGCGGCGACAGAATTTTTCTCTAAACACAATCAAATTTTTTAGCATTAGGATTGCCATGGAGATTCGTGGTCATGAGGCATTAGCCACACATGCTTTACGGTTTTTCTTGATCCGTGGTCGGTTTCTCTAAACACTTTGCTAGGCACGCATGCTGATTTGATAGATGGATCAAAGTAATGGTTGACATTTCATATTAATTTAGTTACGTACACAGTAATTATGTTGTATTTACACTATAATTATATATACTAATTACATGCGTAATTTTGATGACTTATAATATAAATACATGCTGACTATTTTTTATAAAAAATATGACGATATATATATATAGGTAGTCCCATAATTTTCACAGTTTTCTGTTCATTCAATTGTTTTACCAGATACTTCTATATCAAAAAAATGTTATCTGCAATGATACATGTACATCCAGCTAGCCTCACGGTGCGCGTGCTCCCGGTGTTGTATAGCGGCACACGCTGCTGTCCGCGTCGGATGTGTCATGTGTGCGTGCGGACAAACTCGGCCCATGAAGGGATTCATCTCCACGCAGCTGATCTCGCGGTGATCGTGTCTCCCGGTCCCGGTCGACTTGACGGCCACCGCGGGGTAAGCCAGCCTGCGCGCGGCAGCAACGGTAGATTCCAAGCTAGAGATTTTTCCGAGCTTTTGTCTGCGAAATGATGATGAATCTAGGCCGTTTAACTAAGTTTATTATAGAAAAAAATTAACAACATTTATAATACCAAACTAGTTTTATTAATTTTAAATTGAATATGTTTTGATAATATATTTGTTTTGTATGGAAAATGTTTTGTATATTTTTCTATAATCTTGACTTAAAAAAATGCCAAATAATTTGTAATATGAAGAGAAGGGGTAGCTGATTATCAAGAGGGGAAAGCCATGAATCGGCACTACTATGGCTAAGCTTAGTTAACTACATAGGGCGCATGGATTAGTTAGGGCGCGCGTGCGTTCATGTTGATGGCAACTCTCACGGCGTATACGTACGTGCTGATCCGATGGATTGAGGCCGGCCGTTGTCTCGGTTAATGTGCACGCCTAGCAGTGCCAAGAGATGGGAGAAGCCGAGAAGCTACAGTGCCTGTCTTTGTCGGATGTTGTTGTGCCTTTTCTTCCCCCCGTGACCTGTGACCATGCTGGCTTAATTGGTTTGTTCTTTCCCGGAAATGGATTTTTAGCTTTGTTTAGTTTGGGGGTCAAATTTTACCTCAACAAAATTAATTTTGGTAGCGGTACAATCTTGGTAAGTATTGGTGCCACCAAATTTGGTGGTGCAGAATTTGAACTAATGTGAGTAAAAATTAAGCGCAAACTAAATATTTAGATGATACTATTGGTGTTGTCAAACTGTTGGCAGCTAGGGTAAAAATCAACTTCAATTCCTAAGGGTGTATTTGAGGAGAAGGGGATTGAGGAGATTGGAAAGATACGCAAAACGAGGTGAGTCATTAGCACATAATTAATTGAGTATTAACTATTTTAAACTTCAAAAATGGATTAATATGATTTTTTAAAGCAACTTTTCTATAGAACTTTTTTTTGCAAAAAACACACCGTTTAGTAATTCGGAAAGCGTGCGCGCGAAAAACGAAACAATCTTTCTCTCTTTCTCCTGCACTCAACGCAGCCTAAGTGAACACATACTCCCTCCTGGGGATTTATCAAAACAAAAACATAAAACATACAAGCACCCATGTGTAGAGCAACCTAGACGAGCAGGTTCAAAACCCTAACCAACTAAGTTACGCTCATCTTACAAATAGAAAAACGTAGTATGATGTAAATCACTCCATATATATATATATATATATATATATATATATAAAATATTATTTTGATTTATAAAAGATCGACGAGCTTAATTTATTAGTTGTAAGGACTTTTTACATTAAAAATATATTAGTACCCGATGTAGGGACGTATTTTTTCCCTACATATCACTACTACACAAACTCTTTTTCTATACGAGACCTCATGATTTTACGAATGGACCATAACTTACCGCGTCTGAAAAAATCGAGCGACACTTTCGCATACGGTTTCTTAAGATGCCCGTATGGAAAAATCGATTTTTCCATGCGGGCCTCTTAAGAGGTCCGCACGAAAAAAAAAGAGCTCATTTTTGCATAAAAAAAATTAAAACTAGTTTATCTAACTCATATGAATTTCAAATTAGATAATTCTTTTTTTCTAAGTGTTTCTAAAATCATGTTCTATCATGTTATTGTGTTCTTACTCCTATTATTTTGGCCATTTTTTCTTGTGGCTTTGTTTTATCGACTAAAAATTTGAATTTCAAAACTTAAAATAATATTTTGAAGCAGTAAATAATTTCAGCTGAAAAAGTCATGAACATAATAGTTGTAGAACTCATCAAGACATAAAACTTTTATTTTGGTCATTTCTTCATCCGACAAAGTGATATTAACATTGTTCATAAAATTTACATATCTCTTTTATGGTTTATAAAACCATATGAGAGTGTCAGGGTTATGGTTACCACATATCTAACAGTAGTTGACTAAATCTCGGCAGGACCCACCACATACCATGTCTTGTACGGATACAACCTTCGGATATAGGAGGAGTTCCGCATAAGGAAGGATGAATGGAGTTCTACATGGAAACGACAAGGACTACTTAGATTGTATCCATATTGATTTCCCTAGTTCTACTTGGACAAGGGGATACCTATGAGTATAAATACAAGGCCTCCTAGGAGGAGAGGGGACACAAAACAATAGATCAAGACACAAGATCAACATACAAGCCAACATGCGCCAAGACAAGACGTCGGATATCGACTTCAGAGATAAGCATGGCTAGTCCCCTACGGTGTCTATGGATACTGTCAGGAGAGACATAGCGCTGTCTTCGATCTCGCCGGATGTGGATTCAAGGAGGAAGGCTACCCTGTTGTCGACTATGAGTCAGCACTTCAGACCGTCAAGTCGATAACAGTTAGATAGGCTGCCCCAAATATTGTACTGGTATGATTATGGTGAATAAGAGCAACGACCGACTTCGGTCAACAGGAGTAGGGTTATTACCTGATAATTCAGGGGCCCGAACCTGTATAAAAATACTATGCAAATACCGGAATCGCGACATCAAACGTCGACGGAGAGATATGTAAATTTTGTGAACAATATTACTATCACTTTGTCGGATGAATAAATGAACAAAATAAAAATTATAGATCTTGATGAGTTATACAACTTTGTTGTTGATGACTTTTTCAGTTGAAACCATTTAGTACTTGAAAATGTTGTTTGAAGTTGTCATATTTTGAAATTCAAATTCAAACTGTTGAAACAAAGTCATATAAAAAAATGACCAAAACAAAAGTTGTAGATCTTGATGTGTTATACAACTTTGTTTTAACAATTTTCCATTTAGATTCATTTACTACCCGAAAAATTACTTGAATTTATTGTATTCTAAAATTCAAATTTTATATAGTACAATCAAACTCGGATGGAGACATAGCCAAAAGAAAATTGTTAGATCTTAATAAGTTCTACAACTTTGTTTTTGACAACTTTTTCACATGAGTTCATTTAGTATCATAAAATTCAATTCGAAATTCTCATATTTCCAAATTAGTTTTTTCCCTCCTCATCCCCCTCATCCCTTCAAATTTTTTCATCTCCTCTTCTCTCTCTTCCATCTCCTGATATTTTCTCATCTCCTCAGTCTTCCTCTCTCTTTGTAAGTTTCTCTTCTCTCCTCTCCTCTCCTTACTCTCTTTCTCTCCTCTCCAGTCCTCTCCTCCGAGGGGCGACGGGCGACAGCTAAGAGCTGGAGTGGTGGGGGCGGCTCAGCCGCCTAGAGCGGCGCTGCCCCATGCGGATCCAGCGCCGAGGGCCCTCCCTCGCACGAATTCGGTGTTAGCAACGACGGCGGACGATGGATGGCGGCGCTGGCGACAACGATAGGTGGTGGGGCAACCGACGTGGGAGCGACGGATCCAACCCCGGCGATGACTGCGGACGGCAGGGACGATGGATCCGGTGCCGGCGACGACGGTGGGCGGCTGGGACGGCCGATCCGGCGCCGGCGATGACTGCGGACGGCTAGGGTGACGGATCCAGCCCCGACGATGAGTGCGGGCGGTGGGGGCGGACGATCCGACGTCGGCGACAACTACAGGCGATGGGGGTGTGGCAGATTTGACGCTCCGACGGCGTGAAGCGGGCTCGGGCAGCGGCGGCGGGCTAGGGTTTGGGGAGATTTTTTGGTTTTTATTTTTTTTGTTAGCTGAATTTGTTTTCGCATGCGGCTGGTATAAGCGACCGCATGCGAAAATCGTGATTTTTGCATACCTTTTGGCGCATGCGGTTGGCGCAACAATATGCAAAAATCCTTTTCATTAGTTTGCGAAAATGGTTTTCGTAGTAGTGTATCTAGCTACTACATATGTGTGTAATTGCTTTTTTTGAAGTATGACAAAACTAGACTAGTCATCTGCATTATAGGTGCTTTTTTCGTGTCTCTTAATTAGGATGGCCCTGTCGTGTTTTATATCATCTACATAGTAGT